TAGAGCCGAAGGCGGATTTCCCGCCGGGGGCGAAGTGCCTATGCGCAGGCGAAATCCGTCCGCCTATGCGTAGGTGCAAGTCCTCCCGCGTAGGCAAAATTCTCGGCGGCGCTTCCCGCCGACGTCAAACTCATTTCGCCTATGTGGAGGCGAACTTCCCCCGCCTATGCGTAGGCGAAAGTCTTCGTATCTTTCGACCGTCACAACTCCCTCAGTCCTGATCCGTTCCAGGCGTTCTTGGGCTCGTTAGAACCAACGCGTCAAGCTCTTTCCAACGAGATCCTAACCAAGTCAAGGCGTTTGGGAATTGCATAGATTCTGAGGGATTCCTCTAGCGCCAAAGGCGTACCGCCGAAGGCGGATTATGCGCCTTGCGCCGAAGGAGTACTCCTTCAGAGTCGATCGTTCAGGGCGGGCGCCTGTTCCGGACATTGCGCCCAACTCCTGGATTCTACGAGATTCTACGAGACCATCCAGTTTCACTCTATTTAAATGTACCGATCGCTATTTACACTACTGCTGCGGTACAGTTTTCCAAAAATGTTTTAAATTCCGCATAAATACCAAAAGTGGGTTACCACAGCTGCGCACTCCTGCACTCTCGAAAATCCACGCACTCTTCACACTCCTCACACTCAGAATTCTCTCTGCAAGATTGTTGCGAATTACACTGCTGCGCGTCGCGAGCTTAGGTGAATGCGAAATCAAAAATGGGAGAGTGAAAGTGCGGCTAGGTCTTCCCTTCCTTCGGCGATCAAGATTGCCCAACGTTCGACACTTGGACTGGCCGCAGCTCGCTTGAATGTGATGCCGGCGCGGAGGCGTAACGGCCTAATTTGCACGCTCGAATTCACGCTCCGCCGTTGCGCGGACTCCCACGCTTGTACGTTCAATCTTGATTCCGCCGATTTCCGCCGAAGCTGTTCTCCGCTCGCGTATCGCCGAAGGCGCTCCGCCGAAGGCGTCTATGCCGAAGGCACTAGCGACGAATGCGCTTGCGGCGAAGACACGTCTTCCGCCGACTTCTTTGTCCTTTCCGCTTCCGCCGAAGGCGAGTCCTTCCGCATAAGGCGCATCTTTCCATCAAATGTGGATCCTAGAGGCGAAGGCCTTCCGTACGCCGAAGGCGAAACCTATCAACGGAGACGTTGGGGCGAAGGAACTTACCGCCTAAGGCGTACAAAATGACGAGGTCGATTTCCCTGAGACGAAGGCGTCCGTCGCGCACGCCTCGTGCGTCCTCAGCGACATCTTCTCTTGTGGCGTCTGCGCCGAAGGCGCTTCCTTTTGCTTGCGCCGAAGGCGCATCGCCGAAGACACCTCAGCAAAGGAGCTGTTGCCAAAGGCGCCGAAGGCGCTCTCCCCCGTATGAACCATCTGCGCCGAACAAGGCGCCGGACCTCGGTCTTGGTCCCTTCCAACTCCTGGATTCTCCGTGACCCGCGATCCTCCTTTTTCACTCTATTTTATGTACCGATTACTATTTACAGTTGCTGCTGCGGTACTTGTTTTCCAAAAAATGTTTTAATTCCGCACAAAAACAAAAAGTGGGTTACCACAGTATCCATGAGGGATCACTTGGAGTTAACATTGGGGAATGAAAGAGCGGAGAGTGTGCTTGAGAGCGAAATTCCCTTTGTTTATCCAATAGTTTTGGAAAAACGCCCATGTGTCTCTGATGATCGGTGAACCCAGACACGTCTCGACGACATCATGTGGGATAGCACTCCCGACATTGCAAGTATGTCTTGGCAGCAAGCTCATCAACCACCATCTCTGAAACCGAGCTCAAGAACGTCGGAATAGCAGTTCGACAACCACGGCAAGTTCTCTCGTTTGCAAGAGTATGGAGTGCGACAGAGGTGTTTTGTGTGAGAATTGATGGTAAAATCAGGTGGTAGCATCGACCATCCGAGCGTGGAGTATTTCAATAATGGGACTCAACCGTGTCATAGAATCAAGGATAGCATTCGATGATTAGAAGGTATATTCGTAGGTTCAAAATCTATAAGGTGTAAAAATACAAAAAGTGCTACTCGCCGACTTGTTCATGCAAGCCAGGTTTTGCAACGGTGTAACTCTCATTCTGCAATGGAAACTCACCATTTGACTCCAAAAAAAAATGTTGATGTAAATAGCATTATCACATGTGCAACAAAAAATGCATAATAAATACATGTATTTCATGAAATCTACTTCTGAAACCACCATGAATTCTAAACACGTCGCTATAAAAAAAATATTTAAATTTCACAAGCCAATATTGTCTATTTTGGGTAATTATTTGTTTTATATAGCTACATCTAAGTTCATAATCACGATAAGTAATACAATAACTGCTTTAGGACAGATGCAAATCTAGGAATATATGGATAATTATTACTTGAAACGATACTTCAATTTAAGTAATAGGTAGATTAACATAATTTAATAATGAACATATTAAAAGATCTCATCTTGTTATATGCATGAATGCAGTATATATCCCAAATGGGATATATATTGCCACAATGAAAAATATTTCATACATTACGATGTCTAGACTACCACATCAAACGATTCACAAACAATATGAATATCTAATTTAGTGTAATCTAGTAAAGAATCTAAAACATCTCTAACATATATGTTTTTTAATGATAGCATTTGCTATTACTCAAGATTTAAAAACAAATTGTATAAATCAATATTAGTCATAATCTTCAAAGTTTGATTTTTTTTTTTTTTAAAAACAACTTGTGTCCTACGTCTCAAGCATCAAACGGATTTCAATGCTGATAGCTCAAAATCAAAATAATTTGTGCGAATAAATGCAAAATTTATTGGCGTAAATTAAAATTAAATGTAAAATTATTTTAATATTTAAGAAATTTCAAATTTTAGAATTCGGAAAGACTCACAAATTTTTATACAAATAATTTTTATAAAACTTGAATCAAAATTTTTGCTTAGAATTAAAAGTAATTTTTCAAAATACAAAATGTTTGTGAACAATTTTGTAAATGTGTTTTCATATCTTTAACTTTAATTACAAAAATGTGCATGAAGTTATTTTGAAAACTTACAAGATTAAGTTTGAGCCAAGCTCTGAAGCTTTGAGGAAAAAATCTGATTAATGAAATTCAGATACATCAAATTACTTAATTTAGTTAGATTTATTTATTATTTGAAATTATTTCTAAAATTATTGGAGAGATGAGACCTTTGACTTATACGTTCTTGCAAATGCATATAATGGATTTGATAGCCAGAAAATTAATACTCAGCTAAATCGATTCACTTCATTGTAGGATTGGTTTTTAAATAATGTCATTTACTATACAAAGTTTTAGTTTCATTGCAAAAAAGATGATAAAGTATTGACATCATATATATGACGCTTTACCAAAATATGATGGAGTTTATGAAAATTAATATTATTATTATTTGACAATTTAGATTGGTTGAAATTCACATTAAATTTTAAGAAATAAAGATTCATTTATTATCAAATAATTGATTCATTACATCATTTTGAAGAAAAAAGTATGATCAAGGCTATAAAATGTTTGAAAATTATTAATTTTTGTATATCTTTCATAAAGTTCTATTTCGTGATATATAAAACTTAAACTAGCTCTTTGAAAAGATATGATCTTTCACTTGAAGCTACATCAGTGATATTAAGGGACTTCAAAAAACTAAAGTCAGCATAATTTTTTGTGCCAATTTTATGATGTTGAAGATGAAAAGATAATAATTTCAGTGATTTACAATGGATTAGATTTTTTTACGACAAGACGGAAAAAAAATTTCATCATTTTATTTTCATGATAGAAGATAATTTACCTTGGCAGAAAAAGATTACACATTTATAAAGCAAGAGGAGCTAAGAACTATTATTGTGCCAAATTTTTTGACAACACTCATTTGAAACATTAGCTTTTGTTCACAACAAATCAAAAGATTAATTTTAATATGTGAATCGAAAACGAAGAACAAACTGATTTTCATTTTTTCTTTACATAATCGTTTTCATTTACATTTTACAAAAAAATTAATGTCTATATAATATTAGTATTTCGATGTGTTAATTATTAAAATATGACGTAATCAAATTTTTCACATGACAATTTCAAATCACTCAATCCTAATTCTTGTTGATCACTTTTTACCGTTTACAAGGGAAAGATATGATATATCAAACGTGTTATGTTATGCATCATTCTTAATGTGTAGTTCCGTTCAGTTTATTTTCCAATGAGGAAATTTAAACTATAGCTAGCACATAAAAGAACGTAAACTTTACCTTGTATCTCTTCTCACTTCGGAAGTCATAAAAGGGAAAAACGGAAAGTCAAATGGAAAAACACGAACTACCAAAAGTCAAAAATATCCATCGGAACATTGATTTGTGATTTTGAACTGGATTCATCTATAACCAAAGAAGTAAAAGAAAGGGACTGAAAAAAAAATGATTTCACAATCCTGGAAATAATAATTCAAAATCCTAAAGTGACAAAAACACTTGTTACAATATTCCATAAGGCTTAATGTTAGTTACAATAAAACTGGAATCGAAAGAACAATGTATGCATAATTCCATGTTTGGAAAATTAAAATGTATAATTTATGAATAACTAGTCTTTCATCATAAACTACCATCATCTCTCTTCCCTCATCTCATGCTTGACCCTTCTGCAAAATAAAACATAAAACAGACTCTAACTTACTCGCGCCATAGGTATTCAATTTATAATTGCTGGGTCATGTATGGGATATATTTCTCGCTGCGATGCTTGATCCACATGACGGGCTTCACTGGAAGGCCTTTCACCATCTTTCTATATTATTTCGCTCCCCTCCGCCCCAAAAACAATATTTGACGAGTAACCAGGGTAATGATAACCCAAATCCGGGTATGCAAATCTGACCGTGGTCTGACGTGCAACAGAAGAACCCTGGTTAGGTGGGCGGGCAGAATAGGGCCTGCCGATCGGAAACAGAATATATCGTGGGCACGAGAAATTGCATCTCCTTTCGCTCGATTGTTCGGTCGATTTTCACCATCGCGCTGCAAAGTCACTCCTCAGCAAGCGGTCTGCTCGAAGAGCCGGCGTCTGTCTCGGGAGCTGCGTACGAGGTTTTTCAATTCGCAGCTGTAGATTATCACAGAGTCATGGCGGCCGCGTTGCCCATGAAGCCAGGGAAGGTCGGAGTCGAGGAGGCTGCCGAGACAGTCCACCGAATCCGTATCACCTTGTCGTCCAAGAATGTGAAGAACCTCGAGAAGGTTTGCGCCGATCTCATCAAGGGAGCCAAGGACAAGAGGCTGAAAGTTAAGGGGCCAGTCCGCATGCCTACCAAGGTGATGCGCATTACCACCAGGAAGTCTCCTTGTGGTGAAGGAACCAACACCTGGGACGGATTTGAACTGAGAGTGCACAAGCGTGTTATTGACTTGCACAGCCCCTCGGAGGTTGTGAAGCAGATCACTTCCATCACCATCGAACCAGGTGTCGAGGTTGAGGTTACCATCGCTGATGTGTAAATATGTCCCTTAGGTGAGATGTTTACGGCTTCTCTCAGAGGTTCAGGCTGTAGTGAGGTACGGACGCCTGTCTCTCTAAATTTTGATCTCTGCCTGAGCCTGGTAGCCTCACAATAGGTAACAGCGCTCAAGGCAACAAATTCTTATAAAATTGGAATGATATCTCACTCCATTAACCTCTCATGTGGATGCGTTGCGTTCTTAAGATTGTTATGATGATGTGTTGTATGTTCATGTCGACTTTTCTTTGTGGGTTATGACGATCGAATGCTACTCGCTCGAGTTCAAATTTGACCTTTCAACATTCAGGACTGCCTTCAATTTGGAATGTTGGAAAGTACAGATATCCATCCTTCTTACTTGCCTGGCCATGTTTTAACGCTGCGGTTCGTGTTGGTGTATCATTGTGCGGCACTGTCCTTATGTTTTTCGTCAGTCTAAGCATATGACTGTGAGCGTTTGTGTGTACTCTGCTGTCTCGATTCGATAGAGTTCTACGGATGGTCACGCTTCCCCTAAATCTTGTTTGGTATCGACCCTATCTGCATAGAACTATATTCGACTGAAAGAAGACTGGTGAGGCGAATATATTTGGATATGCATGAACAAGTTTTGATTCTTATGTCGTCGAGTCGGTCGTCACAGAGAAGCTGGCTTACGACTCATGCTTCATACCGCACTTAAAGTGGGGGATCGTTGTAGTCAGCCTGTTGTGTATGACGCGCGTGACTCTTGTTTCAAGAGTGTACTGACAAATGGTGATAGAGGTCAAGAGAATTTGTTTGGTGAAAATGAGGAGATGAGGTGAGGCAATTCAAGCGACTTGACTGGACGGCACAAAATCCACCACCATGTTCGATTCTGGATCTGGGATGTTTGTAACGTGCCAAATGGATACAGATGAAGTGTGCTGGAGACCCATAACTATGTGATACACAGAAGCATCGGCTGGAGACTTTTACTCATCACGCCGATTTACATTTCAATGATCGTTTCAGTTTGTAAAGCAATGTCAAACGTTACACATAGGATGATTGTAATCACTGTTGGTGGAGTTGATGCTCTGTACCTTCATTCGGGTGATGGATCCAAACAGAACCATCTCTCTGCTCAGCACCAATTATCTCCGGTTGCGGCCGAATTTGTCATGGTCTGTACTTTGGCGAAGATTTGTGGGGTAAGTGCAAACACGCTCGTTTGTATTCCTTGATCCACACTCAAAATCTACATCCTTCTTGGAAAGTTCTTGTTGGGTTATTTCACCCGGTTCAAAGGTTTTCTCGAATAACTTATGTCATGAACTGTAGTTAAGAACGGTAGACTCTTCATTTGCCGGTAACTCCCTAGTACGGGCTAGACTCAGCTGTGACACGTTCAATCAATGTCGATCAATAAGGGTCATGGGAGTATACTGAGACCAAATCACCATGACCATTTGATTCGATCATTGTCACTCTATGTCTCTGGGACTTGTTCTAATATTACAGAGACTTTCGCCAAAACAGCACCAAAGTCACACGAAAGTGCTGCTCAACGCTGGTTCTTCAGAGTTTTGCACGGGATTTGACCTCTTCTAGTAGCTGCGGCATGGTTAGACAAAGCCAAATTAAAGGAGAAGATGGTAGACGCTGCATTCCAAACATTTCTGCCATTGACTATTGTGCACTTCTACAAAGTCTAGTCTGGTTAGGCTGGATTCTCAGTGGAATCTTCCACGAGTCTATAACTGGCTGCCCGGGTTTTCATTTAAATACAAGCCTTACAGCTACTTTCCTGAAAGTTCGGAGCCTGTCGAGAGAGCATTCACGGCTCGCGAAGTAGAGCTTTAGCTCTGTTCAATCACTGTAATCAATTTTAGTAAAGGATACAAGCAAACCTTACATTACAAACTGAACGTTTCCATCAGAGGTAAGTGTTGGTGCATTGTTTTCTGTACATGAATCTCACCGCAAACGTCAAATAGTAGCACATTAATAGAACTGCATTATGATGAATATACAAATTTATCTTTTTCTCCTTGTTAATTTCATATATCTGAAACTCTCCCAACTTGCATTGCACACATTATATGCATATATGAAAAGAGTTTTATTACATCTTTTTCATATTTATTATTTCTATTATTTAAGGGGAAAAACTTCCTTTGTGGTATGTTGTTGTGTGCTTGACAATTAGGTCATAATGGTTTTCTAGCTAGATGCAAAGTCGACTGCAAATTATTTCTTGCGTCATGTATTAATCGCCACAATATTTTTTTCTATCAAAGAGTAATGAGCAATCATGATGAATTACACAAAATTTTATTTGCTTTTTCGTCTATCGCAAATTTCAGAATTATCATACAGATTTGCTCTCCATTACACAAAAATATGCTGTTGAATGATTTGATTTAAATTTATTTGAGTATGTTTCAACTCTAGATCAATGTTTAAACAATTTTACGTATTTTTGTAGATGTTATATACTTAAAAAAATTATCATTTGGATTGCAAGGAAAAAATTCTAATCTCACAAAACAGTTCAATTTTTTTATTTCATTGCCATGATTATCAATTTAATTTGAATAACTATTACAATCCAAGATTAAATTTTACTCCAAGATGTAAAAAATAGAAAAAAGTGGTCACCGACATTGACAAAAATCCATGAATGAATATTTTATTTGTTTAAGATTACATAATTGACTTTTTAAGTTTTTTAATCCATTAATATAATTAATTTTTAAATAATTACAGTCTGAATAAATTGAACATTTTATCATTCAAATAAAAATGATAATCATCTTTATTGAATGACAAAATGTTCAATTTTATACAATGTTTGTTCTTATTGTCATGTTCTCTTACGTATCGATGATTAAGATTAAATTTTGATATGATTAATTACATAATGTTCAATAACACATAAAACAAATTTTGTATATATATATCTTTTAAGTCAAATGATATTATTTTGGATTTTGATACATATATACTTAATTTCATTTGTGATATATATATATATATATAAAACATATGTTAATATTCTCTCAATGAGATTGAAAGTCGCCAATTGTGAGAGAATACCATACTAGCATTTGATTTGATTTGCTATATTATGAATGTGTCAATTGAATAATGAACAAGTAATTAGGTTTCACATCATTTAACTGGATGTAAACATACACTACCCTTCCCTCTCAAGGCCTCTTGACGTAATCCTTGACCGTTTGTGACAGAAACCTTAGTGTTAATATATGATCAGTTAATATAAAAGATAACGAACGGGTCATGCTGTTTGACGTAAGAATATACGTCTTTATGCGCCTTGCTATTGATATTGGACCATCCCTTCGGGGACAAGTGTGGAGCTTATGCCAAATTAGCTACAGATTGAATTCGTGACTGCAGTGGAAGTTTCCTTTACAAATCTTTCTTCATTAAAATGTACAGGTGACAATTTTAAGTCCAAGAAATCAGTCAGATGGGACTCAACCTCTAGACTGCTACTTATTCGCCGCTGCTGCTTTGAAAAGGCGACTAAGAGAAGCACCTTTCCACTTGTTTTTATCATTGTCTGTTATGTCAGAACCAGATCTTACTGGTGGTGTGGTGGACATACTTCTTGTCCTCACACGCTCCATAATCCGTTGTTTTGCAGAGAAGTCTTCATCGTAGGCCACCACCTTCACAAACATATGAAGAACACATTGATTCAAAACATACCAAAAGAATTGAAGAGAACAGATTTAGAGATAATTGAATATGTATTTCGTGTCAGACAAATATATGCGCCAAGTCATTCCTAGGTTATGTTCGCAGTTGTCAGAAGAAAGCTGATTTCTTCGCATAGTGTGGACAAGGTCAGAAAAAAGTCCAACACATACTTCGGCAATATTTACTGCAATTATCAAATTAACCCTTGATCATTAGACCAGAGAGTCTACTCTCAAGGTAAATCTATACATCTCTCGAGCAGTTTAGCTGGTCTTATACAATGCAAGTACGACGAATAAGTGGCGGTAAGAAAGATGAGAAGGTAGGAAGGACCTGAGATTCTATCTGTGACTCTTGAAACTTTTCGTGCCCATCTTCCCCTGAAGTAGTGGATTGTGGGAGCTCCTCTTCGTCAAATTCAGCAAACCTGAAAGAGTAGATTGTTTACGAGTGGTTATATTTCAGATAGATGGGCGAGCTAAAGTCTTGAATGTAAAGACTCTCTTCTTGAGCACTGGGTGCGAGAGGTCAATCCGCTTTTAAACCTACACCGCAGCAGCTCATCTTACATACAACTGGTGTAAATATCCTCAATAACAACTGAAACCTGGTGTAAAACGCACCGGCTTGGCAAAAGTTTCGGCCGTTTGAAATGGGAGTGGGAACGAGGGTGTTCATCTCTATGCCTGCTCAATGTCGTTGCTGGAGACCGGAGCTTTTTCAGCTGTTAAGGTCGATAAAGAGAAGATACAGTATGAACCTGGCCTACTTAGAATGAGAAAATTAAAAGGAAAATCACGTTTGAAGGTTCTTCACTCAGAAAATGAAAAGCAGATAGTTTAATATGGATACAGCTTGATCTGGGCTTCTTAAAACTTCACTGGTCTGAGCCTGGATGCATACAAAATGTCAGAATGTATAAACGGGCAGGACAAAGAACAGGGTTATTAGTGATATTGACAATAAGTAGAAGTAACTCTCCAACTCACTCAACAACTTGAAGGAAAGGAACATTTTCTAGTTAGAAAAAAAAGCTGCACGTGCTTCTCTACTGACAAACTTGAATGACATGCCTTGCTTGATTGGGCAAGAAGTCCCTCGATAGCCGCTGCAACATCTGGTCCACTTTCTTCATCTTTGGCAACCTCTCGGAGGTTGTGATCAGCAGCAGGTCTTGATTCTCTCGCCATACAATCCAACGTACCATCTCGACTATTTTCGTCCGCTGTTTGCGCTGGTTCATTGCGCTGGGCGATTACATGATCTACACAGGCTTGTTCGTCAAAGGGCGGTCTCGGAGGACTGTTTGCTTTCCGGTGAGATTTTCCTGATGGCTGTTTCTCGTTACTTTGAGGCTTTGACCACGATGCAGAGAGTTCGTCCCATGGATCAAGGATCCCATTAACCATCTGTGAGGATAAAGAAACACTTCCTGTTTTTTGAGCGGAAGGAGTTTTGAATTCTAGAGAATTTGCAAGCAACTTTCCTCGAGATCTCTTCACATCTGTCATCTTTCCTGCTCACATAAGTGACAGTCAACATGAATTATTCAGAAAGCTGAGGCGGTACAGTGAGCAACCTTTACATAACCCACAAAAGCTACTCTATAACAGAGAGCCTTGTTAAAATTTCTCATCTACGTTAAACGAGTGATCAACAAAGTTATCTACCCTTGATATCCAGCGTCTCGCGCTGACTCGTCTGTCCCTGATCTTGTGTTTGTCTGGTCTGCTGTACAGACTGCTGAAAGTCATCAAAACTTAAAGCAACGGAAGATCTAGAACTTGTCGGGCATTGAGTAGGTATCGCAAGTCCAGCCTCTCTGTCAGCTGCAGTCAACCTTTTGGGTCGATATGGATACAAGTCCACAATCATGTTCTGAAAATTTACATGGCCCACGTATGATATCAAGTTAGTGAAAACAGAGTGGAGAATCTCCTAAGTAGAGTTATATGGTGTACGAATATGACCTGATTCCAGACTAAATTAGCCGACTCTACCGATCATTTGTAGGAAAACTTGGGTTGAAGATATACATAGTACGTACTTGTGTTACGCAAGCATGCACCCAGTCAGCCGTAACAACCTCTATGCCCCATCGTAATGCAGCCTCATATTTCTCTCCATCTCCCACCATGCAAAGCAAATGAGTTGCTTTTCTTGTCATTCGCTTATCCTGATACTTGGCTCCCAGTACGTGGCAGAGATTGTACAGCAATATTCTGTCCCTGTCTGCATATTGTGAAACACAGAACCTAAATCTCTCGAAACCCGGCAAAGGGACCTCACAAGGTAAAGGCTGGAACAGAACATGACTTGTAAGGTCAAGTATGCTCCCCTCCTGCAACACCGAGCATAGAAGATTGCGTACCACGCCGAGTCTAAGTTCACAATATACAAGGGACATGCGCCGACTGCAATTTCAAAACCTGGCTACTGGTCAACTGAATTATGTACTTCAGATACTCATGAGCAAAGAGCATTCACAACATAAGGTACGATGTGATGGGCCAAAACTTAGAATCACATTTTCACACCACAAACCTCCAAACAATATTTGATCCACTGAGGTGTAACCACCCTGACACTGTTATCATCGCAAGGATCCCTTTTCAGTCCGTGTGGAACAATCAGAAAATCGAGTTTGTGTTTTGCAGTCTCGCCGGCAACACCAAGCATCAAACCTCCACCTTGAATAACCCATTGGACTATTTCCGTCCTCTGCAGCATCAGGAAAGTTGTATAACACATGAGTGAGATGAAATTGCTTGAAGTAGTCTGCAGAGAAGAAGATAGTCCGCTTCAACCTTCAACATCGAGAGTCACCAACCGTCGGATAAGGTACTGGTTAATTATGTCCTACAACTGTAATTCCTCAAAATACGTATTTCACAAAACACCGTACTTTTGAAACTGTTAGCTGTATAATTAACTCATGGAAACGTACCAGATCAAATTGGCAAGACTTTGTAAAATCAAACACGCATCCATCAAACACCCCATTTTGCATGCCAGAAATTGAAGGGGCGGAGGTCGCAAGATTCGTTGGAAGAGAAGTCGGGGTCGTTAAACTATGGTCTGCCATCAAGTTTGTCACCAGCTCTTGTTTCTTGTTTCCTATTATTTCCCTGAGAGGACCTCCTGTCTCCGAGAGTGCTGATGTGTGCAAAACATTTTGCCTGAAGCTGGCAGACTCTGAAGTAACTGTGCTGATACCTTGTTGACCATCACCTTTCCGGGGTGAAATGAACGGCCTCTCATCTGAGACAACGTCGAAGGACTTCTTGGACGTTTTTCCACCACAATTATTTCCTTCCATATTCTCCTTGTAATGTGGCACCTCGCCAGTTTCTTGATTCCTCGACACTGTTCCATCAATAGTATCATAGCCTGAAGTACTGTCATAAGCTCGTCTTGCTCCGTTCGCTCCGAGCCTCTTATCAGAAACATCTATGTGATCTGTTGACAGCTTTCCAGACATGTTTTCCTTCGTGGTATTCTCCTGGTATAATGGCCTCCTCTTGTTCATTCCTGAATTTTGGCAAACACGATTGGAAATATTGAATGTAAACAAGCTTGGACCTCACATAATATCTGAGGTGAAAATTTACCAACAAAGAAGGGGATTGCAATCACTAACGAAGATCCTCTATTCAACCCAAAGCAAGAACCTTAAGCAGATTGGGAACAATACCTTGCCTGAAGAGATTTTCTTGCACAAGTAATGTGTGAGCTACGGCGTATTTCTCACTCACGACGATTTCTCTCTTTTGCAGTGAGCATTCTTCGAGCCAATTTGGCAGCACCACATGCATTGCACCCCACAAAGCATACTGCCTTATCTCCTTTAAGTCGCTTCGCATACGAAGGATACTTGTGAGAACTTGCATTATCCATTATAACGATAATAGACAAAAAGTGCAGACATCGAGATCCTGAGAAACTGTGATCCATAGCTATTAGACAGATGTTCGATACTTAAACATACTGATCACACGCTTGATGGGCAATAACACACTTCCAGCCTTCCTCTTGCATCACATGATCTTCCAGTCTAGTGCTTACCTTTCCGTGGGCTTTCCAAGTATCACGTGGGTGATTCTAGAGTTGAACTCCATGTGTCTTGTACCACCCCCGTCCAGCACCATCATTGCAAGACGTTTCATTTCAGAGGGTTCAAACCCTGCCAGAAAGATACGACAACCTGATAGATAACATTCGGTTTCACCTGCATCCGCAAGGTTTGCTTGGGCTGCATCTGAGGCATCACTCGGTTGCATTGGCAACACAGTGCCAGTGGCGATGTTACAAGCAAGAGCACCTTCTACACGTGCCTGGGCTTGGCCTGAGGCGTGAGGAGTCACTGCTGGTCCTGATGTCGCAGCCATGACTCCTTGAAGAGATGTTTCATGCATTGCTTTCTCCTCGAGTTTACCGAAACTCTCGTTCATACCAGATGGTAAGGGTTTGTTGATGGTGCCTTCTTGTGGAGCATAAGTTCTTTCCTCAAGACAAACTACACGTTCAAGCAAAGTCTGTAATAAATTTCCAGCAAACCCTCTCTAAAAACTAGTGAATTGATACCAAATCCAAGATATACAAGCTTATATTTGAATGTTAATCATGCTCCACTGAAGTGAACATACTGTGAGCAGGAAGCTAAGAGATGTAGCTATTCCGAACTACAGCATCTCAGATCTCACTCGCGCATCACGAAACTGGGTGGGCAGAATGCTCTATATTCTTCGCTTGGTGCTAAAGAAATCACTACCAACTTCAACCCATCAACTGATAAACCAGAAATGGTTTGAATCGCTTACCCTTTTCAGAAAAACTATCCCAAAACCATTGCTCGTTTACAAGCTTTATGTTGCACCAGTGACGTTTTGCCACCTTGTATTTGTCACTGTCTGTGGTGTAAGACTTATTAAGGAACATCCAAGTATAAAGACGTGACAACTTTCTCGCAAAGTGTACAATCTTTAAAATAACAAGTCAGGTAGCAGACAAGGAAAGATTATGCTGCATGGAGAGGATATTTTGACGATTAAATGTGTGCATTCCCTGGTTAGATCGGCATCGAAAGTGCCCCCGTTCTTGGCAATGATATCCGCGATCTGATCTCTAGTATCTGCAAGACCAGATAAGACAGGGCTGTCATAACGAACACTTTCGAGTTCACAAATGCACGTCATATTTAAATGGACGTTCAAAGCTCGAAAACATCACCACTGATTTCGCCATCACGTTACAGATGAGCAAAACAATTTCAAGAAGCTATGTGTCGGGAAATGGCCTAAGCAGTGACGTGATACCAGGGCAGAGCAGAATGTTTTAATAAAATCGTCTCCAGATAAACGTAAGCAAAATATAACCAGTTTCTAATTCTAGTGGCACTATCTAGTTTTTCTATACAGATACTTTATTCACGCCCTTGTCCGCAACAAGAAGCTGTAATTTACAAGTAGGAAGAACAAAAAACTTGAAAACTAGACTTTACTTACCAATGAGTATTCCTGTGGCACACACTTTCAAACCAGCAAAAGGCGGCAGTCTGTAAGGCTCGTGAGGTGCTCGTCGGTGTTGTTGGAATGACTGAACGAGCCAATCTAGGCCGACAATCGGTTTCCGCAAGGTAAATGCCGACCACTGATAAGAACATTTGTAGAACTTCCTTAGTTGTCAACTTAGGCAATGAATGGGTAATTCAGTGCTCTTAAAACTTGCAACCTCGTTGAAGGAATTAAAACAGGAGATGTGCAAACATAGGCAACGGGTTCCAGTTTTGCGATACAAATGTGCGTACTGCACCTTATACTTCGGAGCTAGAACGTCTTTTGCTACAACAATGTCTATGTCCATTGAAGTGTGGCTGCATAATTCGCCACACATGGCAGACACCAGGTGTTCTATGTGAAGCTGTAACAGAAAAGAGTAACGAACATGTTAGTGACTTCAAAGTTGCATAATTGAATCAGGCAAGTAACGACTAGTTTACATACCTGAAGCAGACGAGCATATTCTTACCTTCTTCTTTTTATCAAAACCCGTTGCGAGAATTCGCATTCCCTCCATTGACATGCAGCAAGTGAACTTCCTATTGGGGAGCGGTCTCCGGTCTCTTGCACATTGTAGCATGCACTCTGGACCTGTGCTTCATGACATAAAAATCTCTTGAGTCATATATTCACTCTGCCAAGAATTTGATCTGCTACTAAATATCAAAAAATAAGAGACGCATCTGAAGATCATCAAATTACGACTAAGATTTGTCACAATTCGCGTGGGTACAACCTAGTTCATCGAATTTCAACCAGAGCTGCTCGTCAAAGGAGACGAGCACCACCTGTACGATGGTCAAAAGCATGTGGAAACTACACTCACCAATGACGTTGCAACCCCGATCCAGTAGTTCTGAGAACTTCTCCTGAAGAAATTGAAACCAGGGATTCCAGCATCATAGAACAGCTTAGAAATATGCCTCGTCGGATGTTCGAGCAAATGACGTTGCGCGAGTTGATTGAAAAACAAAACAACAACTGACATGAACGTAAAGGAAAAAGATTTTCGAATTTTGCAGAAGTAAAGAGCCGGCTACGTCAAGGACTGAGACTGCAAAAGTAGTTCACAAGCAGACAGGTTTTCGGACTGGGTCAACACGCACGTTGTTGAACGAGAACAAAAAATGGAAGTCGTTGCTCGAATTATATCCTGGATTCGAGCAGAGGATCACTTCAGCTTCGTTTTGTTTGAGTTTATCCAGGATCATATCGTATTTCTCTGGTGGCACTAAATTGCGCGACAACATCACCCGTTGTCCTTTAAATGCCATCTCTGCACCCGACTTTTTCTAAGATCGAGCTGAGATAAGACAGCCCTCCAGAGCGTCACAAATCGATGGACTCGGCTCCAGAATTCTTCCAGGAGGCGACATAGCCACCGCTAAGGGGACTCATATTAGAAAATTGTCCAATTTCCAAAACGATTCTGACTCCTCCAGGTCAGAGAAAATCTCAACACTCGCTCACGAGAATCAAAAATTTCCGCAAGCAGGCTCAGAATTTTGCTCGGTAATTCAGACTCAATTCTAGCCTTGAGAAAAATAAAAGCTCGAACCAACTTCTTCCGATCTTTGTCGAAAATTCCGTGCAATTCAGCGGAACACGGCGGAATCGAAGTCCGGAATTCTTCGAGCCTGTCTCGCGAGGCCCATCGACGAGTTCGAAGGATCGACGCTCCCGCCTAAACAGTGCGCAAGCTTCAGCGCCGTTGCCACCGTTGTCCGTCCGATGAACGGCGCCGTCCACAAGAATTGCGCCCCGTTGAGCGTTACGAGGACGAAACCTGAAACAAGTGGCCGCTCGCCGTCCTAAAGTGACGGTGAAGATGTATTCTCATACAACGTAAACATTGTAAGCGGCATGAACTACTATCTATAGTACCAGTCTGTGTTCTCTGATGCCTGGTTTATTCAATAATTTTGATCAGTTGAAAATTGTAGAGTTCGATACGGTATGTTCTGACAACTCTTTCAGTAACATGTACAAGCGCAAGTTTACAATTGAACTGCGAGAGGTATCGTCTCTTCTCCTAATGAACAAATGAAATCTAGGAATATCACTCCTCATAGGTAACGTTAAAAAAAACAAAGATTCAAGAAGGGATGATAGAATAGTAAGCTCGCACCACTTAATAATGAAAGAATGTCCATGTTAAAAAAAAGTTTATGATTAGAAATATAATATGGTTTGACTGCGCACAAAATTTGTTATCAAGAAGTAGGCTGAATCTCTTGATAGATAAGTTCAAATAAAAACGAAGGATGTAGAATAAATTTCAATGATTTGATGTGCAGCGTTTTGTGTCATAACAATTAATAGAATGTACCATCATAAATCATATTATTTGAAAACAACGTTTCTTAAAAAAACCAAGTATATCTAACACATATTAATTCAAACAAGATAGCTTTGCAATGACAAGTAGACTAGTGTAGTATATTTTGTCTGAAATTTTCGTTAATTTTCGTTAATTGATTCTACACATAATAGATGTTGTCATAGGTCAAATTTTCTGAACCAAAAGATAAATTGTTTACATTATGTTTATCAATTCATTTAGATTTGAAAATAAAACTTCAATCTTCTGGTAATCGACGTGTATGTTGCTGTCAAATTTCATATACAGTATTATATTCACATGGATGAAAATATAATGTTTGATATCTTAAGTTTTGAAATTTGTGAAAATTTTGTTTTAAGACGAATATATTCACCATTGATATTTTTGAAAAAAATTATTTCGATACAATATATCAATGCAAGTATAAAGACATTTATATTTGGATTCCTTGACTTGAGTGTACATATGCAAGCTTAATCTTATTTTGAATGAAGTTAGAGTGATCGATAGAGCTTCATAAAAAAAACTCTATATTTTCAAAAGAATACTACATGTCATGTTAGTATTATTTTTATATATTAAAATGAAGAATTCTTGAATATATTAATTTAGAATAAAATGAATGTACCTAAAACTTAATTTATGGCTTTAAAAAATGAATGGATAGTATTGGAAATTGATGAAATTTAGTATTAGTTTTATTAAAACTTAATTTATAATTAGCATAACATATTACTAACAGTTTCAAGTCATAAATTTCATTTTATTATATAAACCTCTATATTAAAAACTTATAGTTTAAGTTTTGGGCCAGTTAAATACTTGTCAAATCTATCAAACTTCAATTTGCAGTCCAAGACAGTGATGCTCGAAAGGAAAATCATCTGCTTACTTTCAACTTTCAATAAAACATAATAATTATAAGATATAAGATTTCATGTAGTTATTTGACATAAAATGTTGAACTTGATATACAATTAACGTTCACAAAGTCTATGTTCCCGCTTGTAAACTCTCTGTTCTGATTGTATGGGCTCTGAACAAGATTTTATAATGAGGAGAGATTCAATGGAGCAGGAGAGAGAGATATATTTGCTCTCTAGGAGAGTGTAATAGAGCACAGTTATCGCCAGCAAGGTGGTGTACACAAACTTGTAGGCCAGTATGCACATATTCAACGAAGCATATATCCTGTACAAATAGTGTTCTCCGTTTTATTGATACTGAACTGCTAATCAGTTTCAGTTTTCGGTGCACAATTATAAACAATATTCGAACATTGAGAGAAGTTTATAGATCCAGCTTCGGATGGTAGAAAACCTTCAGCAAAATGGACTATGATTCTCGAATTTTAGAACAATCAATTTATTTTTGAACCAATGACTTTTTCTTATAAGAAAAAGTGTACAATGCTGTATAATCAGATGTATAAATATCTCCAACCTTCGCATGTTGTACGCTTGGAGGCAGACCACGGCGAGGGAAAAGCCTCTGTACGAAGCTAGTCGATCCAAAGCGTCTGTAGATGGCAGAGAAACGACGCAAATTTATCAGACGACAGAAACTACAGTAAGAATAGAGCATTCAAGGTCCACGCCGTTAAGTTCTGTTCTAGAAAAACGATACCAACTCTAAATTTACTTGTCCCCGAGATTTGGTCCTGTGACATGAAGTTGCGATGACTATTACAGAGACATCCGTTGGTGATAACGAGCTGAGAAGTTTGTGAGTCTGCATGCAGGTGGGCACTTACATGACACCGGTTGTGTTGGTGGACTCGAGCAGAAGCTCTGGGATGGTATCCACTTGTTTGACAGAGGCCACTGCTTTGGCCGTCACTCGACTGCTTGGATTGGTTGTCTCCCACGTCGCTTGTCCACCGCCAAAATCCTTTTCTGCGAGGAAATAGTGAAATCCGATTTTCTGGCCTTTAAAGTCGAAAAGATCTGCGCTAACGTTGGTCGAGATCCAGGATGAACCATTGAAGGTGTAAATCTGAAATCCCACCCCGAACAGATCCTGCTGCACCTCATGACACTTGGGGATCCTGATTGCTGCATCTACAACTCGTTCGAGATTATTATTCGTGTCCTCGCAGGCGGAAACTAAAGAAGCCCATACGACAACAAAGCACAAGCCAAGCACTGGCGACAGCGCCTGCGTTTTAGCAGCCATCGCGCTGTGACGTCTCGTGCATCCGTGACTCCCCTGTCAGCTTCTGTTAACCGAACGTACAGACTTCTGAGCTATACAGCCACGAGGGTACTTTGCTGTTCAAACGCGAGATTTGACGACTTGATGATTTGTGATTTTGCGGCGGATGGCAATAAGTAAACAAGAGTGTTGATTTCTTACCCTGTATCGGTTCCGCCATCCTTTTATGTAAAACCCGAGAAGGTCACAAGTCTCCTCGAGCTCGACATACAATGCTGAGCGAGTTGCCGAGAGACGCGTCTCGAGACTGGGTAAGCACCGAGTCGCTAAACATGGAGTATCAAAAAGTAGAACGGGTCGTGTAATGGCCCTAATGTTACAGTATATGGGTAAAGCTTTATTTCACTATTTTAGATTCGACCTCGTCAGAGGCTCAGAATTTCAATTGTGGGGAGAGGCGTGCGTGTCACTATCAGATCTGGCCTGGTCAAACACAGGCCTGGCCAGGATTAGTAGACCCAGCCTTGGTAGTTCTGAACACACGCTACAGAGTGACTGCAGGAGAAAATGTCCTATTTGTACTATGGAGACGTAGTTACTTTAAACAAGGCTTTCAAGCAGCGCTCTGCTCAATAGAGAGCAGAGCGCTGCTACGTGGTTGGATTCGTTTGACGTAGCACTGGCATCAGCCGGTGGCATATGCGCACTCGTTTATAGCAGGGGCGGGTGGCTCTAAGCCGTCAGGAGCTTGAAGGTTTGGTACAAACAATCCGCTTCAATACGACACTTTGGAGGAAGAAACAAAAGGAACAAGGTAAGATGACGTGAATGAATTTGCGTAAGGTTCCTGGCTCACAAATCTATGTCAAGCTATCAGTCTAGCTACAAGAAAGGATTTGGGTGGTCCCATGCAAAGTAATTTGTTCGCGAACTGACCTGATGAGAACCCTAGTGAACAAATTATTTACTGATGTTAGTTTTTTGTCATGTCCATACAAAGTGCATCAGTTCTCTGTGCTAACTCGGGTTAGGTAGCTTTCAAACTGATGCACTTTGTGTAGACATGACATAACCGCACTTGATTAAGGTAAAATCATTAGATGACCACAGTGGATTTTTTCAATATGAGAATAACTTTACAATCCCTGCGAATTTCATCTCATGCTTCGCGCATCTCAACCTCAAGCGCAGGGCTGAAGGAATCTATCTATTTCGATCCTTACTGAGATTTAGTCATTGTTCCATGCAAAGCCACAGAATAGGAAAAGGGACTGGGAGCTACTGATGCACACTTGGCCCACTAACTGTGAGCTACTCATATCTTCGACATTAGCATCCAGTCTGATCAGGTCTTACTGCAGTCTCCGATGGCGCGAGTCATTCGCAAACTCCATAACTGATGCAGATAGGACTTTATCGGAGACTTCCGTGGGTTGTCCATTTCCACATTCAGCCCGGATTTAATTGACCAAGCGACATCCGCGTATAAAACTACGATGTTGTTCTTTACTTCGGTTGACCAGGTCCCATTCGAGCGCCACTTACTTAGGCTAGCTTACGAGCTAAACAATACAAATCAGGCAGTGCGTAACCTGATGCGGAATGAGAAGCTCTAGATAGTTTCTTGCAGGCATCCGCTCAGAGGCTCCTCCGTGATGCAGACGACAAACTGCGTTCCCGATGCATAACATCACCAAGAGACAAGCCAGTACAAGAGGTCATTTTCATCTTGGGTTAGTCAGCGGAACCATGACAAAGTCTAAGGAAGTAACACGCTTTAGTCTGCTGTTGGATTATGGATTTATATTGGCAAGTTACCCACGCACGGTCCTGCCGTGAGATTGGGACGATGAGGTAGGTAGTCTACCCAACACTACCTCTAGGATGGAAGTGGAGGTTCATTGGAAACTGCTTCAAAGTTTACCGTACTCAAAACATCGTTGAGTAAACAAGGCCTTATTGCGAGGTAATTCGGGCCAGCAGAAAACGCTCCAGAGGATATTCAAGATATTGGACCAATTCGCTGACTTAAAGAGCAGATATTTGCTGCAATCGAAGGCTGATTGCGAGTAGAAACGGCTGAGAGGCACAGGACAGGAAAGGTACAGAGTGGACGAATCGGTTCTCATTCTCTTTTTTCCATATAACACGAAGAATTGAACAGAAGAAAAATAACCTTCACGGTCGGACATTGCGTCCCTTCTCTGGATTATGACGTGATTCAGGTAGATGGCGCTACAGAAAATAAATTAATGCCAGGATTCCAAATGTGACGACTGTACTCACAGTCCAACGTCACATTATAAGGCTAATTTGGTCGTTGTCTAAGACACATTACTCGTCACAGATAGGGACTTTGCATGACAAAGTTGTACGTAGGACCTTCCGGCATAAACTTGATATGTTCGAACCATGCCCCTAAGTTCTCGCATGAGTCTCGAGATGAAATAAAAATGGTGAGCACTTAGCAATGGGGACAGAACTGAGTGACAGTCCACGTCTCGAAGCCTTGGCTTCTGGAACGGAGACTTCAAAATCCAATATCGCACATCAATGGACTGGAGTGGCGTTGATGAACATACTCTCCCTAAAATGCGATTACAACACCTCTGGAATAAAAGTAGGCATAGCGACATTGTCCCGACCTGCTTTTAAGAGTTCGTTTCAGACCAGAGCGTAGTCACGTGATAGATTGCAAAGAGGATGGCTACCAATTTATCAGGCAAACGAAAAACTAAGATTTTTCTCTTTCACATGTCTACAAGTATCTAGACTAGTTCTTTTGAACTGCTCCGTTTGCAGCACCGTTGGTTGTCACAGGTTGACACTTCTGTAACTCTAACACAACCTGCAATGCGAAGTAGGAAGTTGGCTTAGACGATTAAAGGCGTGGAGAGCAATTAAGTAATGTATAACCAGAATACCTAAAATGAAACCACGCATTGTGCTTCGTCAGAAGAGTTTGGATCTATCACCTTGATGTAGGCTGGATGAGTTCCAATAGCTGCCATGACCTGCATTAAGCAAATAACTATGAGGTGACAAACTTTTCCTCATAAAGCCAGGTATAAGAACAAAAACAATTACTACCACTGTCGTCGATGAAGATGCTTCGGAAACAGAGGCAGTGCATGTATGGAGTTGAGATGCCTGAAGCCATCTCAACCGATACTTATAACAAAAATGCACTCATTTTCAATCTCTCTAACAAAGTGAAGCGCTGCAAGAACCAACCAACTAGTCAGCCATCAAGAGCCTGTAAAGACCTTCGAGTAGCACAAAAAACTTAGTTCACGTACCGTCTCAAACCTTTCTCCACGTACGTTCAAGCGAACGATCTGCATACCCTTTCTTACTGTTACACCTTGATACTCATCTGTATCGGAGTAGACGACAGCACTTGTGGCTATCAACTGATCGCCAACCTCAACCAGTCCAGAATTTTGAGCATTACCACCCGATATGACTTCACCTACGACTACGGTCCCGGTTTTGGTTTCTTCAAAAGCAATGCCTACAAGTTTCATGAACAAGAATGTCAGGAACTGAACTGACTGGGCTACATTTAGTAGAAGCTTGCCTCGTTTCTTGAGTTGAAATAGCTGAAGATTAAGTCTCGTACAAACAATTGCATTTTCAGAAGCGCAGGCTGGTGATTGAGGGAAAGTAGGAATTCAAAAGCATGCTTACTCAAAGACTACAAGTTGAAGGTTATTACCCAGAGGCCTGCTGAGTTCTACCTTGACACGGCTGCATCCAGGTGGCGGCAAATCCGATCCTTCGGCACTGCTGGCCTGGTCGGAGTCGATCAATGCGCGTGGGCACGAATACGGCACTCTAACTTTCGTGGATCTCACATTGATTCTGTAGCCTGCGATCAGAGAACCAGCGCACATGAGCGTTTAAGTTCGGGTCGCAAGGATTGGAAAATTGTATCAATCAAAGTTGCTCAGGAACAATTTGAGACAGATTCAAGGTTAAGAAACACTTAGCTACCACTTTGGCAACTGTCCACGGACTGAAGTCCAGAAACTAGCTAAAAAGAGGAAGGTCAAAACTTCACGTGTCCTCGAATAAGAAAGAATCCAATCTCGACAGTGTTGTTACAGTAAGAATCAGAGTGAGTTGAAACGAAGCCAAATTATTCTATCTTTGATATCTCAGAATGCGATCCTCTATCTTTGTGCCGCGAGCTGGTGTACTGTTTCGTTTGGCAGTGAAGGAAAAACAGGGTAAGGTTGAATTTCTTTCTCGTTGCAAATTAGACAATGCCGGCAAACAATACAGGTCCAAAATCAATTAAAATTCCCAGGTCATAGACTGCCGATCCTCGAGAAAGCTGTCATCGGGCGAGGGGAGTATAACCACCTTTGGCAGACAAAAGAATTGCAGGAGCGTATGATTGCGAGGCTGATACTCGACGGTGCTTGAAATGGGCAGAACCATTGCAGGCAGAAGCTGGCAAAATTGATGAGCAGTGAGCTGGCAGCAGATATGAGCACGATGCAGCTGCCATAGCTGCTTCCGGCTTCCCCTGCGTGCGAGCGCGAGCTTGCTCCGAGAGCGAGATGAGTCCATGGTTTCCATGAGCAACTACAGTCTGCTTCTCCACCCACTGCCATGGTCAGTCTTCTATGGCGTGCATTAAGAGCACAAATGAATGGACGTAATAGGCCAAGGTCATAAAAGGCCAGGACGACAGACTAGCTTTGCATGCGGCACTTTTCTCAATCTGGCGATCTGAGACTTCTAAGAGGCCAAGTCTCACAGCTTCTTCTTCGTATGCTTACAGCTGATCACCGTCGTTGGGAGATGTCAGCAGTACTATGCACTTCCACATCCTCTGGACTGCCTGGTGTTAGTTTCAATGTGCAATAGCTGCGGAGTGTAGCGGCAGATGCTGGACGAGTTTCACAGATCTAGACACTCTATTGCATTGCTTTAATTATGGCTGTCTTCTCTTGGTGGCTACTTTAATCGACTTAGAAGCTGCTACATCAGTCCTCCAAATGGTCTGTGTGGAATTATTTCGATAACAGCCATTTTATTCGTACAAATGAGAGCATCACTAGCAGAAATGGTGTTGGCTTCGAAGTTGTGATGTGAGCTCGAAGTTGCTATGCATACAAATATGTAATTACTTATGAATATTTGTCTTACAACTTTGTCGTTCTTTTTCCGGGCCGTGTTTATTCACCCAGGGGAAGATCTGTCATCACATCATGTTCTTCTTTTCTGATTTTGTGAAAGTGAGATTAGATTCATGAGATGGGTGTTTGCTGATGCTAGTTTTGCACACGGTTTGAAGAAAGCGATGAGGATTATCTTAGTAATGAAATATATGATTATCTTTTGTCCATGGTTTAGGACGTTCAAGTAAAATGGAGCATTTTGATCTTCTTCTAATGGATGAAATTTACTTAACACATGTGATGTTTTTATTGTTGATCGGTGAGAGATACTTTTTGGTGTTCATAGGATCATAATTGATTCGAATATTACACTAGATTTTCAAATTTATTTGGTAGTTAGAGGTTGGAAATTAAATCCTATTGCAACAGATCAAAGCATTCTTCAAAACCGTTGTAGATGTAGTGTGGAATGATGGCAATTGTTTACGAAGAATGCGAATGGGGAAGTCGGATTAGTAAAGGAAAGTAAGATAGAGTTTTGATGTGATATTTCTAAATGAGTGGATATGTCTTTGATGTGGATGCTAAATTGAATAAGTATAATACATCCGGCAACTACAGTATGTAATTTTTTTTGCACATCACATGTGTAGCTATCTGATCACATCTAACTCTCAATGATTTGTTTATACTTGAAGAAGGTATACTTTCCGTAGTAATTCCTTGAAAACCGAAGATACGGCCGACGCAATGGCATCTATATTGATAGATGTCATTGCGTCACGCTTCATGCCTTCATTTTCAAACTCCCACTTCCAGATGAATATCTAAATTTAGTGTAATTTCCCATTCAATCAAATCATTTTCATATGAGCATCAAAAGGCATCTCCCACCAATCAAAATTAGTTGTGCAAAAACATCACAGCCAACAACATGTGCCAAATGAAATTCATGCTTTGGAAGAAGAAAAAAATGCTCCATTTTACTCGACCATCCAAAACCGTGTCAAATGAATTTCATGCACTAGAGGAAGAAAAAATGCTCTATTTTACTCGACCATCCAAAACCGTGTCAGATGAATTACCTGCACTAGAGGAAGATAAAAAGGCTGCATTTTACTCGACCGTCCAGAATCTATCTAATGGACAAAAGTTATCTCACATCATGCCATCGCTTACATGAATCACATCCTAATGAATTCTCGGGCGCGAGCGGAATTCATCCCGACGGGGTTCACCTCGAGAGGCCGGGTGACGAGCGAAGGCGGCAGTGGAGAGGAGTGGGGGAGGGCTCGTGGACCCTCCGAAGCCTCGCGACGGACACGGCGAGCCTCACGGTCGCGTGGCGCCCTCCACGTGAAGATCTCAAGGGGCAGAGGGCGCCGGAAGCTTTTCGTCACCCATCGCCGCCGTCGTCGTCCCCGCAAGCTTACGAACCGGATCTTGCCGGACCCGCACGGCCGTCGGAGCCGGCGATGATATCCGGCGACCGACATCGCGGAGCCCAGGAAAGCACGCATTCCCAGGTCAAAGGTGACCCATTGATAGAAAGTGGTTACATGTACATTAGCCCATCGGCCCATAGACTAGACCGCATCCTGGGTTTCCCCCGGCCAAGGATAGATTCCGGGTAAAACGGTCGACGAGCGAAGGACCGGTCGAGAGCCAACGCTGGAGAATCTCGGCTGACAGGCTACACCCGGTGAGTTGGAAGATTCACGCCGGGTAGGCATGGCGGGCGGGGCTCGAGGCTCCGGCTCTCGTCGGTCTCTGCGCTCGAGCCCTCGAGAGCCCTCGGAGTGCTTCCCTTGATATCCTCCCGAGAGCTAGCGTTGCTGCCAGCGTAGGGTTTTGGCTCGGGCCAAGCAAAATCGATTGCTTGAAGTGAGCATTTTGTTGCGCCCGCGCCCAATTGCGATCGTCGCGTGTGCGACTGCCTTCCCATTCTCGACCCCGGCCGCTTCCTCTCCTGCCCGGCCGATACCTTTCGGGCATCACTTGTTTGGACCGATTCGGCTATGGTACGATCTTACTGTCTCCAATTCTGCGCTCGTTGCTCTGTAGTCTTGTTTTCGGGATTTGTATGTCGTGTGTGTGATTGTGTGTGTGAGAGGGCGTCATATCGCCGTAGGCATTGGAGAGGGTGCCGGGTTTTACGGAGCATTTGTATAGTGAATTGGAAGTTGAATTTGATGTTGTGTAGTTGTTGCACGCGCTACTGTTTGTGGTGGTTTTGCCCGGCTTAGCGGTTCTGTTCCTGGTGCGAGGTTCCATCGAGTAAGCTTCTAAGAGGGTGTGCAAATTGCTGTGTCTCTTGGCTTGTGTTTCCAGTCCTGCCGGCCTATTATGAGGACTCTCTCGGTGCTGGAACGCCCCTGTCTGCCGTCTCCTTGTCTTTGAGAATCCAATCTGACGAAATTCCTGAGTTTGCTATCGCCGCGACCGACGAGGCGTATGCTCGGTTCTTCAATTAGAATTTGTTCGTTTCTTCTACCTGTTTGTACCTAACCAGGAAGTGCTCGAGCCGTCCACGATTTTACACTCTTTCTCGGTTAAGCATCACCCTTTGTACAGTTGACAGGGTTCTTATGGCCACCTTGGGATCTGACATGCTTGTGTCGTGCTCCGTCGGGAATTTGCAAGTAGTTAGTTCCGGAGGCACGCTTCCGTACCGTAACATGTGTTCAGCTGTGTCTTCGTGCTCTTCTTTATCGATGGTCTATACTGTTGCTGCGAAAGGTTTAGGATCAGGTTTAGTGAGAAACATTAGTGGATTAACAGGTCGAGCAAGGGCCTCTGGGAGGTTTAGATATGGGAACCTTCAAGATGCGAAGTGGGGAAGTCTTCGCAACAGGAACCATCGATTTTTACCTATCTCGGCGAAAGGCACGGACGATTCATTGAGCCCTTCGGAAATGACTCTGGAAACTGCTCTCAAGTTGTTGGGAGTTGGAGAAGGAGCTTCTTTCGATGAGATTCTAGGCGCAAAGAAATCTTTGGTTGACAGTTGTGGCGGTGATATGGATCGTATTTCACAGGTGAGATTTCTGTTTGTCATTGTGCAAGCTGCTTCTTATTGGAAGCTGTTAATGTTGCGTGCTTATCTACCACGGAGATTCAACGCGTGCAGCCAAGTACATATGTTTGAAAGTTACATCGATGCTTGTGATTGTAGCTTACTTCTCAACAAAATAACTATCGCTCCATATTAATTGTCGCAACCGCTCGTCTTTCTATTCACTTGTACTACCATTCCAGGTCCCAGTTTTTGACTTCCTCTCGGTGTTCTGATGTCTGGTCAGTTTAAGGGTCGTGCTTCATTCTTTTCCATCAGACTCAAGCGAGTCATGGGAGTGGCGTAGTATAGGGTTTTGGTTTTGAAACTTCATTGAGGAAATTGTTATCACTCTCCAACTATGAGTTGAAGATGAATCTACGGCTCTATCATTTAATAGAGCCGTAGATTGTGCTGCCCAACTTCAAGACTTAGCAGCTACAAGTGAATCTTCTCATGCCTTATCGCATACTCACCCAGCTGTCTCACGCTCCATCCTACCACAAGTTTGATAATCTTAAAAAAGATGCAAGCGGAGAGGGAACAATTATGTGTTCAGTTTCATATATGATTTCGACAGTCTTTCCAAAGAGGTTCTTAATCCGTGACCCAGGCCTAAAGTCGTCTCGCCTCTTCTTGAAGCTGGTCTTATTCACATCCGTCCATTTTATTTTCCAGTTGGAGGCCGCGTATGACACCTTGTTAATGCAAAGCCTGTCACAGAGGAGACGAGGGAAAGTCCTGGACAACAGTATTCGCTTCGCCGATGTTAGAAAGGCAAAAGCGGCAGCTGGAGGTGGTGGTCCGATTTGGCTGAAGGAGGCATTGAAAAACTCTCCTGTTGCTGTTCAAACCCCTCCTGTTAATGATATTGGTCTACAAACAGGTGTTTACAGTGCTCTGATTCTTTTAACTTTCGCCACTGGTCTTCAACCCTCGACTCAGATGGCCATTCAAAGTGGAGCAGATACTCCCGGTTTTATTCTGGCCATTGGATTCGGTGCTTCACTGTATTTTCTACGAAAACAGAACGTTAAGCTAGGTACGTATATCGCTGCAATGTTTTCTGCGCATTGTCAGTGTCATGTGTCCGTGGTGTTGGGCAATGGATGTTTTTGAAATTTAGCAAGTAACATCATCACCTATTGACGCAAGTGCTGAGTGGCCTTGTTCAGAAATGAAATCATATGAGTCTCATCATGTGTCAGTGGAAATATCTTTTGAATATTTATTGTATTTGAAATGCTTGTCAGTAATAATCTAAATTCCTATCAACTTTTGTCGAAGTATTTTGTATTCAGAGGTTCATCCTCGCCAGACGTTAACCGTCGAGGAAATATTGAGCATTTGGATTAACGAATGCTCAATGTATGATCCCAGCAATGTGCTCCTAAACTTGCACATGGTACACAGCAGAATGCTCCGACGACTTTTTTGGCACCTAAATCTTTCGCATCAAATGATTGATATCTGTATTTCATGTGTGCAGGTAAAGCAACATTGATTACAATTGCAGGTCTAGTAGCAGGAGCTGTTTTTGGAGGCGGAGTAGAATCATGGCTTCGTGTGGACATAGTACCGCTTCTTGGAGTGGGATCCCCAGCGGTGGTCGTGAGTGAGTTTGTGCTCGTTTCCCTGTATCTGACCTCACTGTACCTTCGATGATACAGCTCAATCTGCAGCTCAATTCTTCCCTGCAGCTATCATGAACGTTAGGATCTACCGGTACCATTGCTAAGAGCTTTGATGTTTATGCAGCCAAGTGTTGGAGTGTGTGCCACTATTTGTTCTGTGTATTTGGTTATGTAAATTAGTGTATGTTGCAGCCGGTGTATACTGACTGTTGTAAAAATCTCTTCCATAGAGGCTGAAAGTTGTACATTATTGTAACATGGACCCTATACACTGTAGGGTTTGGAAAGGATCTACATGAAAACTTTGCTTTCATGGTGTGAAGTAGTTCATTTGAGATGTGTTTGATCTGATTGAATATTGATAATGAACACATGTATGATGGCATTGAGAATCGCCCAAAGCGTATATGAATCTTACAAGCGTGTATGAGCACCACCTTCAATGAGCTTTTGATCAGGTTCAATCTGGGGCGTCCCTAAGTGCCGAATAAGTATCTTCCACAAACATGAGACGATATTGAGTGATTATAGAGGATCCGCGTGGCACCAATACTTGAAGAGGATGCAAGTGCTACTTTCTTCAGTGAGCTCGACGCCGAGCCTGTCCGATGTCGAGTTCACTCTGTGGACTTTCTTCCACTACCATGTTCTTGTAAGGTAATTTGTGTTGTTTATGGAGTGATCAATTGGTACTTATAGAATGATACTGGATCAATTTCGAGGTTTCATGTGAAATGAGTATGAGGCCGAACGCTTGTGAGCATAAAACTCCAGGATCTCATGCTCAAGGTAGAACAAATCAAAATGCCGTCTCGTACACCGACTAAATATTCCATGCAAACTTCCTCGATATGTTCCCATATGTGACTTGTTTTTTTCCTCGTTACAACGTACAAGATTGATTCCTGTCACATGACAGAATCCGGTTCTTGCACATCGGTTCGCATTCCGGTGTGGTAGAATTTATAATCAGCAGCAGTTCATACACTGAGGAGTCTACTGTACTCCTACACGGCGATTGACAGGATAACTTCACTGAGTTGTCACAACAAGTTCTACGGTCATGAATAGGGAATAAAATAAACTCTCAATATTTATCTATTTGAGGAGTAATGTGAAAATTGAGACGGACTATTTTAGTTTCGTGGGTTTTGATTAGGATTTGAATGTCTACATGTCTATCTATGTTGTCATCGAGACTTGATAAGAAAAGGACGAAGTTCATAGAAAATCAGGTGTCTGATTCTAGGATGTTGATAAATAACGTTTAGAGACTCAAAATGGAGAGCTGTAATCTGGTGATACTGCAATATGAAGATATGTGATGTGAGGTAAGTGTCTTTCTACTCATCTCTGTGTAAACTACTGTGTCATTGACTTCCTTTGGGACAACACAGGACGGTTATTACCTTTGCAATTTGTGTATACGATAAAAGTTTTCGTGAAGAAAAAGTCAATAGAATGCTTCTTCTTACCTACACATAAACCAAGTCTGAAGTCTCAGCTAATATAAGACATAAATAATCATAAACATCGCTTTACATCATACAAAGATAAATTTCAACAAAACATGAACATTCTTTAAAATATAATTCTATTCGTGGTTGTAGATAGTTAATTGATGTACCCACATTTCAAGTGGATAAATCAAGTACAATTTCAATAAGTCATATACAGTAGGGTTCTCAATATATAATAGTAGCATATGATTAATTAAGAAAAAAAATTATCGTACAGTTTAGTATTAGTATTTCATAGGAATTTAAAGTGTTTTTGTAAGTAGATTCGTGCATTTTTCCTTGAGAATTGATTATTTGCATTTATCGTCACAAAATAAAAAAATGAAGTCAAAGTTTCATCTAAATTTATTTTAATTTCAATAACATTTTTTTCTCAATAATGTTGATTTCTGTAGGCATGCAACAATTTTGGTAATATACTCCAATAGAAGAGACTCTAACTCCCTCCATTTGAGCTAGTTCTGGAGCAGTGCAGGAGACCTCTGTTGGTGCTCTTGCTATGCTACTTCGTGTCCTGATTCTATGGTTATACTTTTTCATGCATAAGACTACAGATTTTCAATCGCTCCGTAAATGGATTGTATCAATAGCACACCATTGGCCGCCATTGCTACAAACGCATCTCGTCGTTCACCTGGTTTTCCTCTTCTGCTGCTCGACAGATCCAAAATCTACTTCTCTCGTCCTAAAAGTTATTTTCGTAAGTTTCAAGTTGTTCCCAATTCTTGTGATACAACTTCAATGTAACTCCCCTCCGCTCCAATATAACTCCCCTCTGCTCGTATTACCTTATTTGCTCAACACCACCTTGAGTGGTGTTGAGCTGTTCTTGCTCCACAACTGGGGCAATTAAATCAGAAGTGTATGCAAAAATTTTCAGCTTGAGATCACAGCATCTTAAGTGTCGAATCAGCTCCTGAGACTCTTTTTGCTCCCTTGCTTTGACCATCTTCAGAATAAAAAATACCACGGTATCTTTTTCTTCGGTCTACACCTCACTATCTAGCATCTCCTTTACAAAACATAATGCTTCGGCCTTCAACACTTTTTCCCAAAGTGTAGCTATGAAAGATTGCATGATATGAAACTCTGGTTTTAGCCCAACAAAATGCATCTACTGTAGCATGCTTTTCACATACTCTACATGTTGCTCTTTCTCCATTAACTTCATGATCCAACCAAACATAATCCGCATCATCAGTTTGTGCATGTCATCTTCACACAATGCATTCATTCAAAATACTTTGAGTAAAAAAAGCAAGACTTTGAGTATATAAAAGCAGTTGCAAACAAAAGAAAATGAACATGGATCTATTGCAAAAGGAAAAGACTAAGTAAGATATTGTGTTGTGTTCACATTTAGGTCAAGATTGATTCGAGTCAAATACATATGATGCATGCGTGAACTACATGTGTCAATCCACTTGATGTGCTTTAATTGCGGAAACGAAGATTAACAATTTATGTTTGCTAGGTTAATACGATATCATTTGTAGAGTAAATTTTCATGAAATTCTCAAACGTTTGAACTGTACACTCATATACTCAAATCCAAAAAAATTATAGACAGAATGATAGTGCAATTAAAAAAAAGTCTACTTATATCTATGTTCACATTTAGTGCAAGATTGTTGATTTGAGACAAAGACATCCTATGTATTAACGTATCAAGCACACGTTGTTATCAAATTAGCGTAGCAAGCACAAGTTGGTAATCTTTGTTCACATAATTGGAGCACATCAAGTGAATTACGCAGGATATTGTAATAATGCTGCAGACACAAATTAATCTTATTGGTCTGCGCAATTGGAGCAGATCAAGTGAGTTAACATTGAGATCATGATGAGTCTTCAAAGCCAATGTTTGTCAATATCAATTTGAGTCACTGAAATTCCGTTTATATATATGTTTGTGGTACAAAGTCTCACATATGGCATTTGAGATGACCAGTTGTTAATATAACTGTAATTGATGTCAATTTCATGGTTCACCGCCGCTCGTGTCTTCAACATTTTGAGGTCAAAATGACAAAAAAATATGAAAATGTAGAGGATAAAATCAAGATTTAGGATCCTGCAATTCTTATGCTTTAACACATTCTGCCATTGAGATCCCATTTACTATATGACTTTTAGTCGATACTTGAATCCATTTGAATTATCACTCACTTGGTTAATAACATAATCTGTAATTTCCTTCCCAAGAATCACAAAGCATCAAACTGAATACAGATACTAGCATTTTTATCTTAGAAGTAAGTTTCTTGTACTTCGTTCATTAGGTTGTACTGGAGAAGACATATGCATAGATTTTGGAAATACACTTATAAACCATAGCTCAAAATCTGCACATGATTTGCGGTTTGCTACACACGAGTACACAGTATTGGAATAAAAAAGCACGAGTATGTTAAAGGTTTGCTCAGTATACTTGTTTCATCTTAGTAATACCTCATTCCATTATTAGAGACTTATCCACATAACTTTTGAGAATCCTCATCAGATTGTTTGATAAATGTATGTTGGAATTGTATTTACAAAACTAGAATTGAAGATGATGGTGGAGGTTTACTAATACACATTTTTACAATCTACATTTTTTTTCTAATCTAATCTCTTGATTTTTTAAAATAAATAGATGACAAATTTACATGCAATAAATTACTCAGCATAAAATTATTGATGAATCTTCCAAAATTGATGTAAGATTATAGATGAAAATTTTCTATTTGAATTTTTTGTTTTAAATTTTAGTATATATTTGTCTTCTATCAACTCATCATAATTTGACAAACTTTGATCTACAAACCTAAGGAGTTGATTAATTTCATTGATTACAACACTCCATCTATGAATATCAAAGAGATCATAAAATTTTGCATGTGTGATATGTTGTTCACAAAGAATCAAATCTATTTTTCTATGTTCAAAAAATATGTGTTTTAGGCATAGATGATATTTTTCTAATTTTATGAACAAAATTCCTAAAATTTAGGTGTATCATATATTGATGATTTTAAGTAATTTGAACTCACAAAGTTTGACATTTTTTATTTTATTTTAATCTTCATAAACATTTTTTTAGACTTAAGATCCTAAACTTACTAAGTAAAATTCAAAAAGCAAGCTAGATTTTAGTAAATTTGTTATTTTTTTTGTCTTACTAAAGTTTTATCAAGAATTTAGTCTTGCAAGAATTTAGTTTTTTGTATCTTGAAAGTACCTAACACAAAGTTTACTCTGAAATTTTGAATTGTCTCATTATATCTATCTACATCTTCATGACAAATATGAGGCTTTAGATCCGACTCATAAATTCTGGCAAATATAGTGTTTCCAGAATTAAATTAATTCTTGCAAATTTTTTAGCTTAATTTCGGCATTTTTTGGCAACATTTTTTTCTTCTTACATTTTCAATTAATATATTCTTGACTACTATCTATAATTTAACCAAATATATTGATAAAAAATCTTATGAAAAATGTTTTTTTCCTGAAATGTATTACAGAAATCAGGCTAATTTTAGTAATTATTTAGCTCATATAACACTGCAATTTTCATCGATTCATTCTCTCTCAGAATTTAACACATAATATGTTTATGATTGTTAGATCGTTAGATTGTATTGTTGAATTTGTCATCATCATCATACTGCAATTTAAATTTCACTGAATTTTTAAAATATTTGTAGTAATGTAAAGCAATAAAATTATTTTTATAAATTAATTACATATAATTTTTTTTAAAAGAAAAAAAATATTTTATAAAAAAATATTGATTATACCATTTCAAATTTTCATTTTTCCATCCCTGTGCAGTTCCATCATCCACTGAATCAAGAAAAATCTGGATAATCAAGAATTAACAGGAAATTTTTTCATATCACTTGTATTCTATATTTTAACTGAATAAATTTCGAAATAACTATTTTTCATTTCAAAATATTTGTTTAGAAATTTTTTTAATGATAACCATCAAATGTTTAAATTAATTTGCAAATTTTCTGTAAATGATAAATACTTTCATATAGATTAATTCTAAGTTTTGATAAACATATTTATCCTTTAAAAATTTTTCTTCAATTTTTTTTGAAATCAATTTTTTTAATTCTCAATTATATTAGTGTATAACTTACTTCAATACAAAGAAAAATTGAACACACTTGTACATGAATGTAACATAGGGTATTTTATTATTGTTATACTAGTATGAAAATAGCATTCTAGTCTATGTAAATAAATTATAAGAAACACTTACATTTTGTGTTTTAATGATCCTTAAAATACATATGCATAACTAACTATGAGACTCTGTTAAATACATGTAGATTTTTTTTATTTATTTCAAAAAATTCAACATACACAATCAAGGTGGAAAGGAATATTCCCATAGATTTCTTCCTCTTTTAATATTGTGCGAAATGCATAAAACCATCAGCGAGATGGCATGCGCAGATGATATGTACCCACCCCGTCTATATGATTGAATTATGGCACTTTGTCCAGTTTAATTTTGGCAAATCTGGAATCATGAAACTATATAGTTGATATTTCACTTGATTTGCATTCAAGTCAATCATCAATTTTTATAATTATGAAACATAAATGGAACTCAAACAGGCATTTTCAAATGAGTACACGACGTGGAAAAGTTCAACTCCTTGTTACTATACTAGTGAAATTACATCGAGCTTTGAATTGTTAGAGACAATCCAACTTACCGTAGTCAAATTTTATCGATTAATTAAGTTTAGTGTGTAGATTCCCTTAGAAAACATATTTTTACTAGTTTAAAGATAGTAACTAATGATTTGCATAAAAATTAAACAAGATAGTGTATACTGCTAATTCATAGATATTTGAGAAGATAAAATAAAAAACCACATCATGTTATTGCAAATTTCTCAATCTAATATTATTACTGAATACTAGTTGATTTTTCGTTTTTTTATAGTATGATGGGATTTACATCCTGTTTGCACCATTACATGGCGCCACTTTCTATCATGATAAAGCCTCTTATTCGACCATGTTAGAAGCAAATGGATTGACCATCTACATCCCATGGAGTAACTCTGAATTCTGTAGTCCCTAGCGAGTTCACAAAACAAAACAAGGTGTACACGTCTTTACTAAATCCAATTTATGCGCAGTCCAAGCCTCCCTAGCTCCCGATACCTCAAGCTCAACTTCAATGTCTGTTCAGCCCCGTGTTTATGTTCTTTTGAAACAATTGCCAGATTTTTCAATTCTTTTGTCAAATTTTCCGGTGCTAGAGGGAACGTGGAGTGAGCGCAAAGATAATAGCGCCTGCCGACCGAAGACGACAGCCTGTCCATGTTAGTGCCGCCCGAACCTTCGGTCTGGCGGCGCTACGGTGAATCACGAGGCCGAAGGGTTGGGAGACTGCAGGCTAGAACAACCCCGACCGTATGACTGTGGACTGACGGCATACGGTCACCGTCGTGACGGTCTCCCCTTTGTCACCGTCGCATCAAAAAGTCACCCGTCGAGCTCGCACCCTCTACTATTCAAATTCGACACATGGTCAGTAGATGCGAGACACGTGTCATCGACCACCACATTACCCCATTCAAACTACCCTCCAGTCAGTCAGCGGGATCACCATCAATCGCACAGGCGCAGCATTCCATCGATTATCCGGCCCCTGTAACGAGCTCGGGCTCAGGCACACCCGAAGGCGAGAAGAATCCATGGTAGAGTGCAATTGCCCGTCGCTGCCCTCGCCTTGCCTGGCGCTCACCCCACCTCCCCTCAAATCATTTATAATTTCTGAATCCGAATTTTTTCTCCACCCGAGTACGACTGTTTGCAAATTCAAAGTTAAACGAGGCAGCAAGCAGCAACCATTAAAACGATGCTGCTGCACCTGTCGCTGCATCCTTCTGCTGGAATACATGGAAAACTTAAACTAGCTTATTACCTTACGGGGAACTTTGAAGCACATTCAAGCAGATTATGGATCTCGAGACTGTGCAGCCATTTACAAAATTGAACGAAATTTTCCCATGAATTGACTATGCTTCAATTCTGAAGAAGTAAATCTATGCCAGTGGAGGACAGGGTGCTGGATCATGACGAAGGGCTGCAATTGCAAGGGAGACGGTCGATTCCTTGTCGAAGGTGGGGTTCGGCTCTGTTTCTCACAGCTGAGGATCGTAGTTTCAGGCATCGAAAATTTGGGAGTAGAGACTTGAGAAGAAGCAAACCGCGATGTCAGCGCACTGCGATGCGGTACATATATGGCCATGGCGGTTGGCGCATCAGCCTGATGCGCGCACTGCAGTATTACAACCACCGCCGTGAGCGAGGAAGCTAGTCAAGAATGGCCTAGACCCACCTTCATGTCCAGAAAAGATCTGTTTCGAAGTATGATCTTCTTCATGTTCTGACACGAATTTACGTACCAGGGTTTGGGAGAACGAGATCTAATCACTGCTAATGCTCGATGAAGAATAAAGATCAAGGATCTGGAGGATTTCCTTATCTTTCCCATTCCCTTCGCCTACAGTTTTTGGGTTAATTGGAGGTTTTAGAAAGCCCTGGCAGCTGTAACGAAACTAAGCAGAATTCGAAGCCCGCCCCATCTCTCAAAGCCGCGACGACAGGAAAACTCCTGGCCCCTATAAACGCAAATGCCCTGACAATCGCTAGGCATAATCTTGAATGCAAAAAATCACTCGCCAAATCGAAACCCCGAGATCTCGCGTGATCCGCCATCGCCAGTCCGAGAATGCGTCACAAGAAATGCGAGGCGAGATGGCCGGCCGGCCTCATCTTGGGCGCCAAAAGCGAAACCACTGGTGACGGTGAAACCCACTGGTTGACGGTGACGGTGACATTCGAACGGTGTACGCATGCCGTCAGCCCGGAGAGCATACGGTCGGAGTTGTTCTAGCCAAGAGTGTTGGGAGCACGTCGTCCAGCAGAATCCCGCACTGGTCCAAGAAATCCGGACTCGGTGCTTTCGCCTGAACCTTGGAGCGGCGGATTACAATTTTAGGAGGAAGTGCCATATGAGATATTGACACCCATCAGAAGTAAATGCTGCCATATCCATGAGATTCCAATGCAGTTCATTATCGTCCAGCAGAAGCCCACACTGGTCCAAGGACTCCGGACTCGGTGCTCTCGCCTGAACCTTGGAGCGGCGGATTACAATTTTAGGAGGAAGTGCCATATGAGATATTGACACCCATCAGAAGTAAATGCTGCCATATCCATGAGATTCCAATGCAGTTCATTATCGTCCAGCAGAAGCCCACACTGGTCCAAGGACTCCGGACTCGGTGCTCTCGCCTGAACCTTGGAGCGGCGGATTACAATTTTAGGAGGAAGTGCCATATGAGAGACCGACACCCATTAGAAGTAAGTGCTGCCACATCCATGAGATTCCAACGCAGTTCATTATCGTCCAGCAGAAGCCCACACTGGTCCAAGGACTCCGGACTCGGTGCTCTCGCCTGAACCTTGGAGCGGCGCATTACAATTTTAGAAGGAAGTGACATATGAGATACCGACCCCTATTACAATTTTGGAATTTTGTCGGTGGGACGTGCTTAGCTTACTACAACCTTCGGGTATGTAGTATCATGCCATTGTTTCATTGAATTTCCCAATTTAACGACGATCCAATCTGTCCCGCCGTGGGCCCTGCCAGTGTAGCGTTGTTACATAAACTCGAATCACTCATCGTCGAGCAACGTGAAAGCTCAGTAGCATGCACTCCTCTTCTTACGTAGTTACGTGTCGAGAGTCTGAAAGGATGTCTTGACGAATTCCAGCGACGTCATGTTCAACACTGAACAGTGCAGATTCTAGTATTCGCTTCACGATTCTGTACTATACTAAAAAACACTCGGAATGAATATACGCGCGGATTGGGAAGCAATACCCGAGCATCGACTGCTGATCAGAGTCGCCGGATGTATGAACGATGTAATAACCGATATAATGAACGAGAAATTGAAGCACATGCATTGACAAACGAGGGAAGTTATCAAAGTTGTGGGAGTAAGAGCAAATGCTCAGATTGTTTTGGGAGCGGGGCAGAGCGACGTAGCATGCACTCGTCTTCTTACGTATTTACGAGTCGAGAGTCTGAAAAGATGTGTCTTGACGAATTCCAGCGACGTCATATTCAACACTGTACAGTGAAGATTCTAGTATTCGCTTCACGAGTCAGTACTAAATAACGCTCGGAATGAATATCCGCGCGGATTGTGACGCAAGTCCCCGAGCATAGACTGCTGATCAAAGTAGCCGGATGTATGAACGATGTAATACACGATAAAATGAACGAGAAATTGAAGCACATGCATTGGCAAACGAGGGAAGTTTTCAAATTTGTGGGAGTAAGAGCTAAAATCGATGTATACAATATTTGATTCATCTGTACAACGAAAAAATACTAATTAACAATTGAATGAAATCTACTGAGAGGTGTGAGTTAATAGTGCTTACTAAGACTAGCGCTTGCGAACTTGATGAGGTCGAGAGGAATGTAGGTGATTATGGAATACACCCACACTACCCCCGCCCATCCCCATCCGATCGGCTTTAATCGTGCGAACGAGAGGGTCATATACACGGAGATCAGAGTCGCAGTCAGCTGCGCGACGGCGAAAGCAGTCAACAGCAGGAGGCCCGGCCTCTCGAGGAACGACCAGCCTCGAGACCGGGTGACGAAGATCAACGCCTGGCTGACGATGCTGACCTGCAAGTAGATGGCGGAGAGCAGCATGTCATGATCGTCGCCGATGGGCTCCACATGCAACGAATTTCCCAAGCGGTGCGGCTCACGGACGAGCCAGAAGAAGACGACAGTCATGGGACCGAGGTACGAGCCGAGAAGGATGCGAGTGGAGAAGATCTCTCGCAGCCTCCAGCGATCGGGCATCGGGGACGGCCGGACACGGTCCTTGGCGATGGTCATGATGGTGCCGTCATTCAGAACGGCGATCACCAGCACCATGAAGGGCGAGAAGTCGAATTTCCAAATCGTGGCCAGCAGCAGGAATCCCAGAACGATGTGGATGTTGATGGCGATGACGTAGATCGTGTAATTCTTAATCCTCTGGAAGATGGCTCGGCTCGTGAGCACGGCGCTGACGATCACGCTGAGCCCCGGCTCCGTGAGGACGATGTCGGCCGCGCTGCGGGCTGCGTCGGTCGCGCCGGCCACGGCGATCCCGACGTCGGCCTTCTTGAGCGCCGGCGCGTCGTTCACCCCGTCGCCGGTCATCCCCACCACGTGCCGCCTCGCTTGCAGGCGCCGGACGATTTCGTACTTGTGCTCCGGGAAGACGCCGGCGAAGCCGTCGGCGCGCTCGATCAGATCGTCCACGTCGCGCGCCGCCGTCGAGGAATACCCGTCGTCGCACAGCAAGGCCGACCCCGGCAACATGTTCGTCCCCATTCCCAGTCGCCGGCACGTCTCCTTGCCGATGGCCGTCTGGTAACCGGTGATCAACTTCACGGCAAGTCCGAAGTCCAGAGACCGATTTATGGTATCGGCGCTGTCGTGTCGCGGCGGGTCGAACAGCGGCACGAGGCCGCAGAAGGTCCAGGGACCGCCGGCGGCGTCTTTTCTTCCCTCCGGGACCTCCTGCACGGCGACGCCCAGAAGCCACGGTCGGCGAATCGGTCGACGGCGGCATGCACGCGCGCGGCGATCTCGTGCCCTTCGCGGGCGAGCGCCAGGATCTGGTCGGGCGCGCCCTTGCTGGCGCGGTACATTCTGCCGTCGCGGTCGTCGAGGTACGTGACGGTTGTGCGCTTGTCGACCGGGTTGAAGGGCAGGAAGTGCAGCTCGTGGATGCCGCGGCGCGCCAGGCCGGGGTCCTCCAGCGCGCCGACGACGGTCGCGTCGATGGGGTCCTGGTTCTCGGTGCGCGACGCTCGCGCCGCGTGCAGGATCACGTCGCCGGCGTCCATCCCCGGCGCGAAGACCTCGACCAACTTCCGGTCGATGATGAGCTTGTTCAGCGTCAGCGTGCCCGCTTCGTCGCTGCAGAGGATGTCCATTCCGGCCAGCTCCTCGATGGTTGTCATGCGCTTGGTGATGGCGTCCTGCGCCGCGAGGCGGCGCGCCCCGATGGCCATCGTGACGAAGAGCACGGTGGGCATGGCGATCGGGATGCCTCCGATGAGCAGCACGAGCAGATTGTCGATGCCATCATGGTAGCTCCTCCTCTGGATGGGCCACATGACGACGATCTCGACCAAGAGTCCGCAGGCGATGGAGGCGATGGAGAAGCTGCAGATTTTCGAGAGCACTTTCTGGAAATGTCCCTGCTGCTCGGTGCTGTCCACGAGGTGCGCGGCCTTGCCGAAGAACGAGTGCACTCCCGTGGCGATGACCACCGCTTCGATTTCTCCCTGCTTGCACGTGGACCCCGAGTGCACTTCGTCTCCCGGGCCTTTGGTCGCTGGCAGAGACTCTCCTGTCAGTGCAGATTGGTCGATTTTCACTGCGTCTTCCTTCACTGTCACTCTCTCTCGTTCTCTCTTCTCACGTTCGCGTACTCGTTGCCATGGTAGAGTTGCCATGGTAGAGTTCGTGAGAGCTCGAGTTCTCCGGACGTCCAAAGGACTCTGATACCAAGGCAGATGTTTGAGAGCAAGAGAAGGATGGAAGAACACGAATGGAATGATGGAGAGCTTGAATATCAGTCAGTCAGCGACAGTCTGAGTTTCAGCCTGCCACAGACTCCCCTCCACTTCGGGCCGCATTACCAGCTTCCTTAAATTGCTCTTACCGTCACAATGGCTTTCCACCGAAACGTAGCATCAGTGATTACGGGTTCTGAGGTTCCCTGGCCATCCAGTTTGTTCAGCTGTGGGGTTATTCCGACATTCTCGAATGTGTTTACGTAAACTGCTTGGCGTTATCATCCGAGCCGGCAGAGTGAGTACAGGGCTGATTTGGATTGCAGAAATCGATGCTCGATCTGTGCCACATTAGAGCGGTGCATGGGTCATGTTTAGCCAATCATGCATGTGCTGGATTTGACGCACGCTTTGAGTAGATTCAGCTTGTACTTTTAAAGTGATCGCCCATCCTATTTTAAAATCCAGACATGAAAATCACCGCAGCGCGAATGAAGATCTGAATACTTCTGTACTACTCCGCATGCATTCTGTGTGCGTTGAAAAGCAGACCGTCGCCTGTTTTATTTCTTGTCTCTTTCGGTGACCTCTCCTGCTTACATGTCTTCATGATGGGCTTGAATCGCAAATGATCAGTGTCTAACTCAGACAGTAATGAATGATTAATATAAATGAAATGACTATTTTTAAAAAAGCCAACCATACGCACAATATGATAATCTCCCCACTTATTTACGCTGGATGAAAGAAGATAGAGATTATTCACGAGAAAAGTATGAGATAGGTAAAATTTGAATTAAAATACTATGCGAAGATTCATATTTCATACACTTCAAAATTCCTGTGTATTTATTGACTAAATACTAAAATTAAGATCGTCTTAGTTCTGAATATACATATTATTCTTAATAATGAAACGAAGTGCATGTTTATTCTAACAAATATTTTAAGGTCTACTGACACTACTTGAAATAGACAACCAACATTTTTTGCTAAAAGACCTTGCAGTTCATGGAGCTACTTAGGACCAGCTCACCTTAACATGAGCAAACCAGTGAAATAGATTGAGGTATTGCTATTCAAAGAGTCTGAAACCATCGATTATAACTAAGCAATTTTTTTGCTGAGAATGGGTGAATATGAAATACTTCTTCATACGGAGATTCAACTATTTTCAAACAACATGTTCAATGAAGGTGAAGTCCTCCTATCTTTGCAATTTGAAATGTCCACGTAAACCTCCGCCAAGAAATTTAGAACAAGGAGTAGATCGAGGTCATTTCTCAGAAATATCTTTGTTCATCTCATCCTCAAGAATTGGAAAAGATCCATATATAATAACGTCATCCAATGGTGTAGATCTACCATTAAGATGAAGATGAGTGTTGGAGTCTCGCTCGGATGTTCCTGAGTAAGGGGAACGAATCGGTCTCGAAAAATCTTGGTGTGATCTGAAATTGTGACAACTTTTCCGAAGTCCTCGACAGATTCTTAAGCTTCTTCCATGTTCCTCCTGTCTTGTACCATTTTTCCCTTGGAAAGTTGAGCGATGAATTGCAAAGTCATCTGCTCCTCTTCTCTGGTTAGATCGTCAAGTTTGAAGAGTATAGTTCCCATGCGATGTGGTAATTTTATCAGGAAGTGCAGTCCACGCGAGAGCAGTAACATGATTCCTCTACTATCTGATCTCCTTCCGATGACGGTAAAGTACGTACACCTAATGGGTTAGATACTTATGGATGCAGTTCAAAGGATCTCCTATTGTGATACCGTTGGAGCCTAGCACCATGTTACAACCTCGGGTTAATTAGATTGAGCGCTTGATGGAGTTTCCCATACTTCGTGCTTCATGTTTCTTATTGACCGAGTAATCTGCCATTGTTGAGTTTGTGAAATACGAAACGAAGTAAAAACACACATGCGCCGAGTACTAAATGTATGGAGGGTGTAGAGCCTATGACAGTAGCGCTGCAGTACTGTACAAATCTTATATGGTCCAACATTTTGGTGCCCAGTTTGTGGCTAGGCAGCATTTTTCGGATATTACATTTTCTGCACATATCGCGTATCTCGGCTATAACGTTGCGAATGGCTATTTACTACATTTTTTCCTATGAGGTAGAGAATATATATATATATATATATATTTCGGATGTTCTATTTTCTGCAAATCTCGCGTATCTCGGCTATAATGTTACGATTGGCTATTTACTACATTTCTTCCTATGAGGTAGGAGACTATATATATCTATATATTTGTTTATTTTTATTTGGATGTAGAAAAGTTCAAATTGAAACGACCTGGGCTTCACGATATTATGGAGAGAACTAAAGAAATCCGCAGAATATGACTGGCATTATCACACTCTCAGACGGGCACAAAAACGTACCCAAACTACAATAGTCTCTGCTTTCCAAAAGTGACATATATAAGCTCAGCGCATTGACAAGTTACTCAATTGCGAAGGCTATTTTGAACACTGGCTTGCTGTGCATGCCGTAAGCAATTCAGATTCAGATTTCTATAATCGTATAAATTCCTTCCAGCGCTCAGATTCCTAAATTCCAGATAAAAAGATTTCTACCTCTCTGTTCCAAATTAATAATATGGATCATCCAATCTAAGTCGAATTTTTTTGACATCCACTGTCTAGACACACGGGCAAATTTGATGGAATCTACAGAATTTGTATGCATTGGAAGACATCTGAATTGGATTTCATTTCTAGATTCAGATGTACAAAGGATTATATTTTCTCGAAAAGTCTTATGGTTTTTGGGCTACCTCAAATGTCAACGAAGGTTGTTGCAACGGTTGTTCAGTCATAAGTTTGAGTCACGATTTCGATGATCACAGAGATACAATAGTGGATAAGTTTGAAGATAGTATTAGAGATATCTGGGTGGCCACAACTGAACGTGGATATTTGGTGATCATGTCTATATTTCCTTTCTGCTGCAACTTGCATTGCACAGTTCAGTCCATTCCTATCCTCATGCTCTCTATCGATCTGACGTAAGTACAATCAGCGCCTCTGCAGCAGGCTATATTGCAGGAAACTACAAGGGTCCGTCGCGATCGCAGCAAGTATGCAGAAAGATAGACTAAGCGTTCGCAAATCCTCAGCAATTACTTTCAAACAGAAAACCTGGGGAATTTTACTTACACGTACCAGGGAAGCCCACTGTGGGTAAAATGCATGCTCACCATTGACTGCGGCTCCTTTTCCTAGGATGCCGTAATTAGGATGAAGAATTGATTATAGTAAAATGAAAACTTCAGGTAAAAACCGCAAAGAATTGATAGTACCCATGTGAAGGCTCGAGCTATACCTTAATACATTAGATGGCGAAGGAGCAACAACTTCTACGGTCCGTGAATCTGAAAGTATATGAGTAAGATCTTGAGATCCATGGCTTAAGACTGCATCACACTTGCTGTGGCATTACCATTGCTGTTAGTACTCGTGTTCATCATGAGAATTCGAGGCCTATTAGTTTTAAGAAGCCTCCGTTTTCATTATTATGGGAATTTGATGATATAATCTCGGTACTGAGAAGACAGCTAAAGGCTTTCAGTGCCTCCAAGAGTTTCGCAGCCATATTTTATGAGAGCGTATACCCAAGCAAAGACATATCTGCAAGCTTCAGAAATCTATGAAGCATCACAACTAGAAGCTTCCAAACCCCGGCAACATGATTGTATTTTTTATTCTCCTAAGGCACTGAAAAGTGGAGAGCTGGAAATAAGCTTGAAATGTCTGGACTGGCGAACGCTAGACATCTAGATCCAGCCGTCCAGGGAACTCGTATGAACTTGTACAGTCCCCTGCATTTTGGAACAAAGGATCTCATACAGCGATAACCAATTTAAATCTCCAGTCACTGTATCAACATTCTGTTGGACAAAAATTGAAATCTGGAAGACTCAAACAATGACTTGGAGGTTCCAATCGGCATATCGGAATGTCAGCCTTGACTTTTCACGCAAGCAAATGATTACTTCAGCCATTATTTTAGTCATGCCAGCCCTGTGGGCCTGCTGCCAAGAGGGCTTCAGAGTTGGCCATGGACGGCAGGAATCTAGACAGGAGTTGTGAAACTGAGTACGATCACCCCATCGAAGGAAACCTCCGCAAGCGTTCCTGTAGCTCGATGGACTGACTACCTCAGGAACAAAAAGTTCAAGTCTGAATGTTTCAAAAACCGTACAGAATATTTAACATGATGTAAGCCAGAGCGAGCGGGATAGAAGTAATGTCGAAGCGAGGATCGAAGCGCATTCCGGTCAGTACGGAGAATCCAAAAGTGTACCAGTCCGTTCTGCTGAAAGTACTGCGGAGTACGAAGGCGGAGAAGGAGCTTGTGGACACAGAGAGCCGGATTTTGCAGTCACGAAACCCTCGTACTCGATCGGTCCTGGCCACAGGCTCATGAACCAGATTTAACTTCTCATGTATCTGAGCATGTGCGGTCCGTGCTGTGTGAGACCAAAGGCTGAGTTCCCCAGTACTACATGTGTCCTTCAGGGTACAAGTCCCGTACCTGATCGGGGACCACAGCAACACGTACTTGAAGGAATCAAAGAAAAGTGCGGCCTTGCTTTCTCACGCTTTCGCGAAGTCAAGTTGTGCAGTCAGCGCACTGAGAAATTATGGATTGAAGTGGACGACAGGCAGACCTTCGAGCGGTGGCTCTTGTAACGGGCTGATACCAACTCCTAATATGGGGTCCCAGCTCATGCAAGCTCATGCTTTTCAGAAGCAGACACCAGCTTCGCCTGATTCTGAACTTCTTTCAGTTATTGACTCCAATCCCGATCATCAAACTCACAACCTACTACAACTAACTTCTAAAGCATTTGCCAAATTTTGGTAAATTGGGCACAAGAAATGATCGCATCGTCAGTCGAGTCTCATCAAATGAATCAACTCATCATGCAGCCCATTTGACTAGCGGCCTCGACGTCTCCTGGTCAGTAAAAGAACACAGTAACACAGCACATTGACTCTTCGATTTGATCGTCAGAATCTGAGACTCTTCGAGCTCATATAACACATGCGTACGTGCACATGAACCCTTGTGTACGAGGCCAGCTGCGCTTGCACCCTTGGAGACTGGTTCTGTTGGAACCGCACCACCGCTTAAACCTACCCTCGAGCCTCTCTCCGCCTCTGCCTAGTGAACATACACAGACCTCATATTTCCAGCATGCGCTAGGCCTCCACATGGACGTCACTTATAGGACACGGGGATGCTGCCTTCTATACATGCATGGCCTGAGTGCCACCTCTTAACTTAGCATTGTGGTTTCACGTAACATCTTGTGACAAAGGAGTGAGCACAGATTAGTATTCTTGGAAGTTAAGCGCTACGACTTTCGAATTTTGGAACAATTCATGTGATTATGTGTGCATGTAAACTATAAAATGCAAAAAATAAATAAGAATGTAAGAAATATATAAGTATATCCGATGACGTCAAGGATAGCCTCACTAGTTTCCGCTCAATACAATAAAGTGGGCTATGGACGATAGCACTCGCTTTGTTGCAAACCTCGTTCTGTAGTATCTGACACAACTATATACCGCATACGGTGTGACTGCGCAGCGCTGAACCTGGTGCATCAGGAGTAAATTGTGATAAATGACTGAATAATTCTAGCTACATGCCACGAGTACTGTGACTCCCATCGCACACCACATTAAACCCACGCTTATGATAGAGCTCGTTCCAAACTACTTTCATGGCTGGAAGAATAACGCTGACTTTCTAGACTATCCCGATAGATCTTCGTTACAAATCATAAATTCATTGTGGACTTTGAGATTCAGTGTCCACCATCTAGCCTTCCGGATTCAGAATGGACGGAAGGTCGAAACTTGTCGGATGATGAAAATTGTTCGTCGGGTGATCAAGCATTTTGCATCTCGTGAACGTCGTTGTGTAATTCGGAACTCGAATAGAGTCGGACATACACCCTGCTAGCTGAGTCCGAACAGAAGTCAAAAGGTTTGAAGAGAAGGCTGATTGCAGGTCTTTTCCAGGTACCACTGAATATATATATGAATTCTATCTCTTACAGTATACTATATGCTTCTTGCAGTGGTAAAATCTTTCAAATTGCATCCAATATCCCCTTCTGTGCTGACTTGACGAATATGAAAGTCAATGGCTCTTCTTCGCAACAAGAGCAGTTGTTGTACATGATCTGAACCTAGCTTGCGGACACCGTGACTGCATCTTCGATATGTTGCTTGCGGTACATGATTGCTTGAGAGGAGACTATCGGGTAGGTTGGGTCCTGTCGGCTAGACGCACATGCCTTTAATGATAATGAGTCTCAGTTAGTTGTGAGGAGGTTCTGCTTAACCAACAACTGCTTACCCAGTCCACATCGAGATCCGATGCTGTGCTCTTCAGCACGGTTAGAATTCGAGGTCCGGAAGCTGATCATGGCATGGATTATGCAAAATTAATAGTTCAGAAGCAACGATCTTGGCTTAAACAGCTCATATCTCGGCTGCTCGCTCGCATGTTGCCTTATATGCTACACGTGCATGTGAATGGTCTTCGTTGAAATAGAGAATGGAAAATTTTCGAGCTGCAGTTGTATGGGCAGCTAGTCGGAGACGACGGCTAAAAGTAAGACTGCGATGCGCAGGAGCTTACCATATATGACATTTTGGTACTCGAAATCATGAATAACATTACGATATCGAGAGCCGTAACTCTGTCCGATCCAATGTATCATTTCCATCTCCACTTCCATCTTCATCAGTTCTAGCGCTGACTTGCCTCCTTGGGCCCGACGCTCCACACATTAGCAAATCCTAAGATTTGCGAATCCCCCGATCAGGATCTTCAGCTTTTGCCTCAATCCTGATCTCCTTCGCATGCCCTTTTACATCCTGACTCATCAATGGTCAACTCGGCAACGGAGGATGTCTGCCAGCGAGGTGTGCCGAGAGAGAGAGAGAGCCGTACGTGCTCGAGTCGGAGGCGAGGTTTAAATATGATAGTGCTCGGCATTTGTGCTAAGCCGACGAAAGCATCTGGGCGCTCTCGAGTGAGCACCAAGTGGATAGGATAAGCGCTGAGAAGAGCCGGGTCGTGTGTTGGGACTGTCAGGCACCATGGCTGCAGCAGCATTGAGTCTGGATTCGATCGGCAGCGAGGCGAACCTCGAATCCTGTGAGCTGGAAGAGGCCTTCGAGAAACTGCAGGCTTCGCGGGAAGGACTGACGGGCGAGCAGGGAGCCGAGAGATTGCAGATCTTCGGGCCGAACAAGCTGTTCGAGGAGTCCGAGAGCAAAATTCTCAAGTTCCTGGGGTTCATGTGGAATCCGCTGTCGTGGGTGATGGAGTTCGCAGCCGTGATGGCCATCGCGCTGGCCAACGGAGGAGGCAGGCCGCCGGACTGGCAGGACTTCGTGGGCATAGTCATCCTGCTGATCATCAACTCGACCATCAGCTTCGTCGAGGAGCACAACGCGGGCAACGCCGCCGCCGCCCTGATGGCCAAGCTAGCGCCCACCGCTAAGGTGCTGCGCGACGGGAAGTGGCTCGAGGCGGATGCGGCGGCGCTCGTGCCGGGAGACGTCATCGCCATCAAGCTGGGCGACATCGTTCCTGCGGACGCCAGGCTGCTCGAGGGCGATGCTCTGAAAATCGACCAGTCCGCCCTCACGGGCGAGTCTCTCCCGACCACGAAGAGCACGGGGGACCTCGTGTACTCGGGATCGACGTGCAAGCAGGGCGAAGTGCGCGCTCTGGTCACGGCCACGGGAATTCACTCGTTCTTCGGCCGAGCTGCGCATTTGGTAAGCAGCACGCATCAGGAAGGTCATTTCCAGAAAGTGCTCACGTCGATAGGCAATTTCTGCATGGTTTCCATCGCCATCGGCATGCTCATCGAGATTGTGGTCATGTGGCCAATTCAGAGACGAAGCTACCGGGATGGCATAGATAACCTCCTGGTGCTGCTGATCGGCGGCATCCCGATCGCCATGCCCACTGTTCTGTCGGTGACGATGGCCATCGGCGCTCGGCGCTTGGCCTCGCAGGGCGCCATCACCAAGCGCATGACCGCCGTCGAGGAATTGGCGGCCATGAATGTGCTGTGCAGCGACAAGACGGGCACTCTGACGCTCAACAAGCTCAGCGTCGACAAGAGCTTGGTCGAGGTCTTCCTGCCGGGGATGGATCGGGAGCACGTCCTGCTGCTGGCGGCGCGAGCGGCCAGGACCGAGAACCAGGACGCCATCGACGCCACCGTCGTCGGCGCTCTGGCCGACCCGGAGCAGGCTCGCGCCGGCATCCACGAGCTGCACTTTCTGCCCTTCAATCCGGTCGAGAAGCGCACCGCCATCACCTACATCGACGAGCGCGACGGCAAGATGTACCGCACCAGCAAGGGCGCCCCCGAGCAGATCCTCGAGCTGGTGCACAACAAGGACCAAATCGCGCCCCGCGTGCACGCAGTCATCGAGAAATTCGCCGAGCGCGGCCTACGATCGCTGGCCGTGTCGTTCCAGGAGGTGCTGGATGGCGACGAGGGCCCGTGGCACTTGTGCGGGATGATGCCCCTCTTCGATCCGCCCCGCAGCGATAGCGCCGAGACCATCCGCAGGGCCGTGGCGCTGGGCATCAGCGTGAAGATGATCACGGGCGACCAGCTCGCCATCGGCAAGGAGACGGGGCGAAGGCTCGGGATGGGCACCAACATGTACCCTTCGTCGTCGCTGCTGGTGGCGGAAGAGGGCGACGGCAGCGCGAAGCATTCCAAGCCCAAAGGAGGCCGAGCGTCGACGAATTCCACCGTCCTGGTGGACGAGCTCATCGAGCGCGCCGACGGATTCGCAGGAGTATTCCCCGAGCACAAGTACGAGATCGTCAAGCGCCTGCAGGCGAGGAAGCACGTGGTGGGGATGACGGGCGATGGCGTGAACGATGCTCCTGCGCTCAAGAAGGCCGACGTCGGCATCGCGGTCGACGACGCCACCGACGCAGCTCGCGGTGCTGCCGACATCGTGCTCACGGAGCCGGGGCTCGGAGTGATCATCAGCGCCGTCCTCACGAGCCGTGAAATTTTTCAGCGGATGAAGACGTACACGATCTACGCCATCTCCATCACCATCCGCATCGTGCTGGGATTCCTGCTCCTGGCGCTGATTTGGAAGTTCGATTTCTCGGCTTTCATGGTTCTCGTGATGGCAATTCTAAACGACGGCACCATCATGACCATCTCCAAGGACCGCGTCAAGGCCTCGCCCACTCCCGATTGCTGGATGCTGCGCGAGATCTTCATCACGGGCATTGTCCTGGGCTCGTACCTCGCCGTCATGACCGTGATCTTCTTCTGGCTCGTACACGACACCGACATCCTTTCACAGCTGCTGGGCGTCGACTCCATCGCCGACGACCATGGCCGCCTCGTCTCCGCCGTCTACTTGCAGGTGAGCATCGTGAGCCAGGCGCTCATCTTCGTCACTCGCGCCCGCCGATGGTCGTTCGTCGAGCGCCCGGGCTTTCTGCTGGTCGTCGCCTTCGTCATCGCCCAGACCGTGGCCACCTTTCTGGCCGTGTACGCCGAGTGGAGCTTCGCTCGCGTCGCCCCGCTCGGCTGGGACTGGGCCGGCATCGTCTGGGTCTACAGCATTGTCTCCTACTTGCCCCTCGACGCCATCAAGTGCACCATTCGTCAAGCACTCAGCAGATCGAGCCGAGGTGCGTCCGTCTCCTCATAGCCAATGAATTCCTCGAGCCCCGAGCCTTCGTCTCGAAGTTCCCGACGACATTCCTTCCATGAAATGTGCTCGACGACGCGGAGATCATATTTCATGCACTCCTCGTAAATAACTCCGAAGCGAGTAAGTTCTCTGTACATATCTGAAGACAGACACATACTAGTTGCAAGATTACTGGAAGAATTGGCAGACACTCTGGAATCGGGATTCAGTGAATCCAATTGTCTTCTACGTCCCGCCACGAGATTTGTTGACGCTGAGCTTGGCTCTCGGACGACGAGAGATTCGACACTTTAAAGAGCTATGGTGACATTTCGGAGGTTGCCATGTTCTGTACAATCGAAATTCCGTTCTGACCAGGATCGATGGTCTTCGATCGTTGGTTCCGTAGAAGAGTAGTCGTTCTACTAAGAATTCATAGTCCTCACTTGTTGTAATATGCCTCTATTCCCTTCGCCTGGGTCCAAGAGGGTGAAGTAATATACGTAATTTCTCGCCTCAGACATCAACTGCACTGGTCCCCCGTCTGCTCAGCATGTGCAGCAGACAGTATAAATTAATCTGCACTCACCTTCATTACACACCAGAGTGTGTCAAACGTATACCCAATCTCTCTCTCTCTCTCTCTCCCTCCCTCATTTGTTCTACTCAAAGATTTTATTGTGCCATAAATATTTATCTGCCACGTATGTGTGATCGAAAACACGATCATACACATATGTCTGAAAACTATTTCACTAACTTGACCAGGTGAAAGATTTCCAAGCTCAAACTTCTGGTTCAAACCATGCTTGAGTGCAAGGATATCAAATCGCGTCTTTGACTCGAGTGTGTGGTAAAGTTAACTAAACGGAATTTGAGTTAAAATGAATGAAGTTTAAGTTAAATTCACGTTAAATTAAATTTGAAGGGTCAGTTTGTCGGTGTTACCTGTTTTGATGAGAAGTGTTAGGCCTTTTGTTTGGGGCTTCAGATTTGTGTGGCTGGTCTGAGATTTGAGCATAGAATCTGAAACGATCAATGAGATTGGAAGTTCTGTAACCCAAACAAGAAGGCTCGGGGTCCGACCGCGGTTAGTTAGATTGGAACCCCCTGTGACAAGAACAGAGGGTATTGCTGTTTTATAACAACAGCTACGAGAGGGTAAAAGTCCACATGCTGAAACTTGGTAGATTCTCGAACTCAAGTGTAATGATATTAGTTCTAGCTTTAAGATTGTTGCTGATAGTAGTAGCAAGAAATTACAGGTAAATAGACTAGTATGTGCAAATTTCATCTAGAAGAGAAATATATGGATTATCTATCACATCCAAGCTGTAGTTTGTGGTAATTTTCACTTGTGTAACATTCCCGTTTTAGAGCTCAATGAATTCAATATAGTGGCAGACACTGCTTCTTGCTAGTGTTTTGATTATATGAGACTCTTACTGGACGAAGCTCAATTTCACAACAATAGTCAATTTCCGAAATTGAGTTCAAAGTTTTAGAGAATTGTTGTTTTTGGCTATTTATTAACATAAACTTAGCTTGTTTATATTATAACTCATCACAATATGAATTATTAGATGCAAATATCATAATTAAAAGAAGTATTTTTCTTTAAATTCTTTTTTTTGGGATCTAAATTTAACAATCACTTTTTACTTTGATGATACAAACATTAAATATTTTTATAAGTTTATAATTCTTGAAATTAAATATTATTTTTATAGTATGTTTGTTATAGAACAGTAAAGATTGATTTTTTTTTATGTAGTCCTTTGAAAAATGGCCAATCATTACAAAAAAAAATTAATTTTTTTAATAAAATTTCAAAGATTTGTAATTTAAATATATATCTAGTTAATAAAATCATAATAATCAATCCGTTTCAGTTAAAATATACTGTTTATAAATAGGAATTAGATGTATTTTTACAATAATTTCAAACAAATCTAATTTTTTTTGACGTTTTGATATTTGATTTTAAAATTAAAATCGGGCATTTAAAATTATTTAAAAGATTTCAAAAATAATTTATCATGGATTTTTTTTTCTACAATGATTTCTATATAAATCACAATTATTTATCATTATGTTGGTAAAAATTATTGTAGAGTTATATATTTTGTGACCTTAGTGCTGGATATGATGAAATTGAATTTTTTTTCCAAGTCAATTTCAAAATAAAATTCTAGTTTGTTCCAAGATGTTTACTCAAAGAGATCAATTAAGTCAAGTAGAATAACACAAAAGTTGTTGGTTTGAAAGAGTAGCACATTTTTGGTAAGTAACAAACAAAAACTTCTACCTACGTATCTTTGATCAAAACTTGATTTTTGTTATTGTTTTGCAATAATTTCAGATCAATATCTTCAATTTTTTATTTTAAAAATATGAATAAATTATATTTTATCTTCTATTTTTTATTATAACAATCCTAATTATGATTTTTTTTCAATAAAATCCATAATAATAAATTTTGTATTTATTTAATCATATAGACGGAAATATCTATCACATAGATGAGTAAATTACTTTATATAATGAATACAATAAATTTATTTAAATTGATTTTTTCTTTTTATTTTCTTTCATTTAATTCCAAAATAATAATTTAAAAACTTTTTTTCAAAAAATATTGATACTTTAATAAAGTACCAATGATTTTTGAAATAATTCTAAATTTTAAATTTTTTTAAGTTTTAAAACAAAATTAATTATTATAAAATATATATAATAAATTATTTTTATTTTTTATTTATTAATATGTAACCTATTTATAGTAGTTTCACAGATTTATAAAAGATGAAAATTTGATTTAAAAAATTTTTAATTAAATTTTTATGTTAAAAAAATAAATTATATTATTTAAAAATTTATTTAATAATAATTTATTATTAAAAAATAAAATTAAATAAATAAAATATCTTATTTAGAAAATAATAATAAAAATCTGAATAGATAAAATCTTGAACTGAAGAAGTACTTTGCATTTATTGCTTCACATACTAGACCAAATTGATACTTTCATGTTGTTTTTCTTCTACCAACATTGGAAGTACTTTCTAAGTATATTCTATAACTATGAAGTTTCCAATTTCAATATCTATATTTTCCAGCGTTTTGGTATAATTATAATAAAACTTTTTTATAAAAAAATTTCCAAATTTATTATTGTTAATAAAAAGAAGAGTACGTGTTTGTTTGAGTATTTAATATAATAAAATCAAATCTATTATAGAAGCCTATTTTAATTTAAAAAAAAAAAAAAACTGAGACTAGGAGTTGTGTCATCACATTTAATTGAATTAAATAATATTATATATTTTTTCCGTAAAACTAGATAAAATTATCCTTTTTTCATATAATGAATATAGAAAATAAATTAGAATAATACTTAATTATTTTTATTTTCTCCAAAAAAAAACTTTCAAGAAAAATTTAAATCAAGAAATAATTTAGTATAAAAACCTTTACTTTTAAACAAGAGAAATGTCCATTATATTTAAAATTAAAATTAAATTTTTTTCTTTTCCCAATTCTAAAAATAAGCTTAAATAATTATTAAAAATTAATGATAAATAATAATTATTTACTTCTAAAATTATTTCATCTCATTAAGGCGATGATTTAGAAGAGTTTCAGTTATAATGTTTTTCAATTTTTTATTTTTTATTTCCATAATTGGATATGAAAAATCATGCGGATAAATAAAGTGAATTTTTCAGTTTTGATTTTTGGAGAGATAAGAATTATTTTTTATAAAATTTTAATTAATTTTTAACTATAACCTATATTTGAAATTTCCAAATTTTATATTCATTTAAACATGTCTTGAAATATTATTAGTTTTTGGGTTTAATAAACTATCAAATTATTTACAATGTGGATCAATTTATCTTTACTTTCAAGAATTCAATTTGAATCTTTCAATTAAAGATTTTGTTTTTTCCAAAAAATAAATATATTTCAATAAACCTACCAAATTAAAGATAAATATTTATTAAAATATTAAGTTTGATGATGAAAACTTAAGCTTAATTTCTCCACAAAAAATACTTCTAAAAACTTTTTATAATTTTTCTTTTTATAACAACAGTAATTTTAGATTACTTTCAAAGATTCAATTAAATAACCTTCAATTTGATTTTTTTCTTTTTTATTTTAATGATTTTATAGAATTTTCTATATAAAATTTTTATTTTATATAATCAATATATTAGTATTCTTTATTTTAGTATCAACTCTCCAAATGAAGTTTTTGAATCAATTTTCAAAAATTCAAGTAGATCAAGCTGATTAAAAATTGAAGGTTTTTCTTAGAGAAAAATATTTGTTATAAAAAATAACTAAATAAAAACATATAACTTGGATAAAAATGTTAAATTGATTTTTTATTTCCAGTAATGAATTTAATAAAAAATAAAAAATATAAATATTAATAGTTTTTATAAAAAATTGTTTGAAAGATTTCAAAATAAAGACATTTTATTGTAATTACAATAATTTTTGATAAGTTAAAATAACTTAGTCATATTTTCACAAAATTTTTAAAAAATATTTTTGCATCTTCAAGGAAATTATGCTGGGACGGTGTTTGGGTAGAATAGATTGCTATTTGGAAAACAAAAGATCCCAAAAATGTTGCCTAGCAGTGGTGCAATATTGGCCACGAAGATGTTAGACGTTGTACCATTTGTACACAATTGCTCTATGTCGGCTGGAGCTTTGCAGCGCCGACTGTTCGAGTTTGTCACTTCTAGATTATAGTTGTTGACTGCACTTAGTCTAGGACTTACTGATTTCTAGCGATGCTGAACAACAATGGTAGAAAGGTTAGTTTCTCCAGGTTGTTCCAAACAAACGCATCAACAGTTAGCCTTCAACGTTTGTTATTTCCTAGTATTATTTCAAACGGATAAATTCTTGGGAAATGGCCAAATAGTAAACCTTCAAGGATTGCAATTTGCTAGTATTATTTCGACACCAAAATGTCAAATTAATTTTGATCAATCAGGTTGTGCTATTCATTTTCAGACCTTTAGCGGCACTGTGGAAGTGTTGAGCTAGAAAACTCGAAACTGCTAAATCTTTATTTTGCACTAGCTCGTTGAGGTGTCGAATTCACACCTGATAATCTGTCATGGATAAACTCTACATCCGTCCAGTTATTTTAGTACGCGGCGCATGTGTGTCTTTACTTCATTTTGTATTTCACAAACTCAAACAATGGCGAACTACTCGTTCAATAAGAAATATGAATTACGAAGTATGGGAAAACTACATCAAGCCCTGAATCTAATTAACCCAAGGTTGTAACATGGTGCTAGGCTCCAACGGTATCAACATATGAAATCCTTTGAACTGCATCCATGGCGTCATAACTATCTAACCCAATAGGTCTACGTACATTACCCTCATAGGGAGAAGATCAGATAGTAGAGAAATCATGTTATTGCCCTCATGTTGATTTAACTTCCACCGCGTCAAGGTGATACTCTACCGCTGATCTCATTCTTCTATATTGTGTAGAAACATTAGTAACATTTATACCATGTAACCATATATTTCCATAATCACAATTGTCAAGACCTGCAATATTCGTAATAAACTAGATTTTCCTGAACCAGAAGGACCTAAAAGCCCCATTTTTTTGTATTTTAAGAAATAATGGGCAAGTGGACTGCACTTCCTCGGGACATCGGGACCTATATTCTTCAAATTTCACGATCTAACTTGAAGCTTAGTAAGAGTAGACCTTAAAATATTTATTAAAAAAAACATGTACTTCATTTCATTATTTAGAAGAATAGCGTATATTCAGAACTAAAAAAATCTTCTTTATAGTATCTAGTCAATAAATACACCAAAATTTTGAAGTGTGTGAAATTATCAACCTTTGAATAATATCTATTTTTTATTTTACCAATCTCTATATGTTTTCTCGTGAATCATATCTAGCTTATTTCATCCATATTTTTTCGTAAAGAAGTAGGGATTTTATCACATTGTGCTGTGTGAATGGACTCATTTAAAATGAGCTTCAACCCTACAAACGGGTGAAGCTCATTTCTATTTTTCTATATTACTCTCTATTCCACACACAGCGATTCAATCCCATCTGAATGGCATGGGAGCAGGAGAGATCACCAAAAGGGACAGGGAGCATGAACGCAAAAGATAAAACAGGTGACGGTCTGCTTTCTCACGCACAGAATGCATGGCGGAGGAGTAAAAACATATTCAGATCTCAATTCGGGCTGCTATGATATTCATGTCAGGATTTTAAAACAGGATCCGCGATTGATTTAAAAGTCCGAGCTGAATTTACTCAAGGCGTGGGTCAAATCCGGCACATGCATGATTGCCAATCATGTCATGTTTAGCCTAAACATGACCCGTGCACCGCTTCAATACATTGATTTCCGCAATCCAAACCAGCCTTGTACTCACTCTGCCGGCTCGGATCACAAGCGGTCTCGAATGTGCTTACGTAGGTAAGCACATTCGAGAATGTCGGCATACCCCGCAGCTGAAATCCGTCTACTGATGCTACCTTCCGCTGGACAGCCATTGTACGGTAAGAGCAGTTTAGAGAAGCTGGTAATGCGGCCCGGAGTGAAGGGGAGGCCATGGTGGTCTGAAACTGAGACTGTCGCTAACTGACTGAGACTTCAAGCTCTCCATCATTCCATTCGTGTTCTTCCATCCCTCTCTTGCTCTCAAACATCTAACTTGGTATCAGAGACCTTTGGAAGTCCGGAGAACTCAAGGTCTCACGAACTCTACTGTGGCGACGAGTACGCGAACGTGAAGAGAGAACGTGCACGGTGACATCTCTTGGGTCCCACAGGTGCCACTTTGCTGTTTAATAGACCCTCTGATTATCGAAAGATCTTCAAGCAGTCGTGGTGAGGAAAGGAAAAATTTGACGTGCCAGGGTGAGCATTGCGACTGCAATTGTGCTGGATTTCCAGATGCGGGAAGGGAGAAGTGGGAAAAGGTGATGGACATCAGCTCTATGAGGTAGGCGTTGTTGAGTGTAACCAACTTTCTCTATGATTCTTCCCGATAGATTAATTTTCTGGGAAGACGAGGAGTGCATGCCAACGTATACTTTGACTGCATCCAAATAAGGAGCTCATCAGCCTACCAATATTCGAACCAGGAGATCAGCAACTGAATGCACAGCTCACTCACTTTGGAAGTACAATCATCTACTTCATTTTCTTCTCATTACAAATGTTTTGAACTGAACACACATTTGAAATCTACTCTTTAATTTAACACGATAAGAAGTTCCAATGCAGCCATAATTTTGATCAGTTCATCTACGGCTCGCCATCGAGTAGAAAAAGACATATGCTTACTTGTTTTTGACAGCTACTAGTCTCAACTTAACTTGTAATCGAAAAGTGACACTGTCATATTCTTAGTATATCAGTTAAATCATTTTGAAATGTATATATTATTTAGAGCATATTTAAAAAGTCAAAAAAACACCTGGTTCCATAGCAAGAATCTAAATACTTCAAGGTTCGATTCGTTCCTCTTGACTTGCAACATCCACAGCTGTGTGAAAACCTTAAATGCAAACCAAGGAGAATGAAGGATTGGTGAAATGGGTTGGCTTACACTCACAACTGAGGAGTAGCACGTCCAAATCCGCTCATTTCATCAAATATCGTTAAGCATGAATAGCCAGCAACTTGCATTGAAGTCCACATGGTCTTCCCAGGTTACAGTCTTCCCGCAACGTTAACTTGTGACTCATTGCAAGGATCCAGATGACTCCAAACTTCAGTTCCAGAGAAATCTCATTCACGGAATGTCAGGAGGTTCTAAACTCCAATTCCATGGTGGCGAGTTTCAAAACGAATCAAATATTCAGATATTGTGATGCGCGTTGACAGGTTTGTGTTCACATTTGCAAGGTGACCATCCGAGTCATAGCGGTAGAAAGAGAAATGGGACATCGGCTTTCAAACGAATGATTGCCACGAGGGCAACTCATTAACTTGCAACTTGCAACGGGCACTGCATGCGACTTGTCGTTATTGCAAGTATATAGCCGCCAGCTCGAGCTGAGAATTTGTAGCCGAGCAGGAAAATGTCATGGCAATGTCTCGAATCGATATATCAATCCGTTATTTAAACATCGTGACGACACATCTGTTGTGCAACGGCATGGCGAGAACGGTGAGAAACGGAAGTTGCGTAATTCGAATACGGCTGGAAGCTGTACCCCCAAAATCCAATCGAGGCCTTGTACGAAGCCCCTGTCAGCCGTGTTTACGGCTAGGAGCTGTCAAACCGCAACGTATACTTCTTGCGCCAGATCTGGACTCCATGAAAACGGTTGAGAGGATATCTGACGATTCTTGTTAAGAACAAATTTCAAAAGCAGTTGAGTTTGCGATTGAGAGAAGGAGACGTTGGTCTGAAGCTTCGGGTAATAGCAATAAAGAGGCAAGGTCGTGATCAATCAGTATCTTTTCAAGATACAGCATACATTTGCAAGTTCTATCGTTGTCTAAAGCTCACTTTTATCAGGAAACCTTTACTATCGCATTTCTGTAAATCAGTTGTGTGTCAAAGTCATCAACATCCATCGTATTACGGTTCGTGCATCCTCAGCCAACTCAGAACAATGGGGTCGAGCAATCGGCCCTTATCATCATGGCTGTCACTTGTTACTCTAATTGCTACTCTGGCTGTTGTGAGCCAATGCGTCGAGATGCTGGAGGTGGATGCGCATGCGTCGTTGACCTTCTGCGAGATTCATGTACTTCCTCGAGGATACGATTGCGAAGAGCATGAGGTTAGTGGTCTTAATTACTAATAGATACTCTGTCGACTCGATTCAGAAGTGTTCTAAAGCAGAGTAGTGACAAATAAACTTTGGATTTTGTTTTGGCATGTTTTAAGAAGACATGGCTTCATTGACATTGTGCAACCAGAAGATACCTGAACATGGTCGGTATGTGTGATTTGTGTACACTGGCAGGTATATTCGGAGGATGGTTACATGCTTCGTCTGCATCGGGTTATACCTCGGGCCAGCCTGGAAAAGTCTGTGTGGGAATGGCTGGAGCCGGAGCTCCGACATAAGCACAAGCACAAGGGGCCCTTCCCTGGGTTCAAGAAACCACGGCCAGCTCCTGAGGCGGTACCCTCGTACACAAGTCCTAGCAGCAGCTCAGAAAGTCCACCATCTCCAAGTCCTCCTCCTTCGTCCTTCTCGCCTCCAGGTGAAGGCACACATGGAGGACCATCTCCACCGTCGTCCTCCTACTCTCCACCTGGTGGATATGGAGGTCCCAGTCCTTCGTCCTCCTCCTCGCCTCCAAGTGAAGGAGCATACGGAGGACCATCTCCGCCGTCGTCCTCCTACTCTCCACCTGGTGGATATGGAGGTCCCAGTCCTTCGTCCTCCTCCTCGCCTCCAAGTGAAGGAGCATACGGAGGACAATCTCCGCCGTCGTCCTCCTACTCTCCACCTGGTGGATATGGAGGTCCCAGTCCGTCGTCCTCCTCCTCGCCTCCAAGTGAAGGAGCATACGGAGGACCATCTCCGCCGTCGTCCTCCTACTCTCCACCTGGTGGATTTGGAGGTCCCAGTCCTTCGTCCTCCTCCTCGCCTCCAAGTGAAGGAGCATACGGAGGACCATCTCCGCCGTCGTCCTCCTACTCTCCACCTGGTGGATATGGAGGTCCCAGTCCTTCGTCCTCCTCCTCGCCTCCAAGTGAAGGAGCATACGGAGGACAATCTCCGCCGTCGTCCTCCTACTCTCCACCTGGTGGATATGGAGGTCCCAGTCCGTCGTCCTCCTCCTCGCCTCCAAGTGAAGGAGCATACGGAGGACCATCTCCGCCGTCGTCCTCCTACTCTCCACCTGGTGGATTTGGAGGTCCCAGTCCTTCGTCCTCCTCCTCGCCTCCAAGTGAAGGAGCATACGGAGGACCATCTCCGCCGTCGTCCTCCTACTCTCCACCTGGTGGATTTGGAGGTCCCAGTCCTTCGTCCTCCTCCTCGCCTCCAAGTGAAGGAGCATACGGAGGACCATCTCCGCCGTCGTCCTCCTACTCTCCACCTGGTGGATATGGAGGTCCCAGTCCTTCGTCCTCCTCCTCGCCTCCAAGTGAAGGAGCATACGGAGGACAATCTCCGCCGTCGTCCTCCTACTCTCCACCTGGTGGATATGGAGGTCCCAGTCCGTCGTCCTCCTCCTCGCCTCCAAGTGAAGGAGCATACGGAGGACCATCTCCGCCGTCGTCCTCCTACTCTCCACCTGGTGGATATGGAGGTCCCAGTCCTTCGTCCTCCTCCTCGCCTCCAAGTGAAGGAGCATACGGAGGACCATCTCCGCCGTCGTCCTCCTACTCTCCACCTGGTGGATATGGAGGTCCCACTCCTTCTGCCTTCTCCCCACCAGGCGCAAGCACATATGGAGGATCGAACTCAGCTCCATCGTCTTACTCTCCCCCGGCAGCCGCTGGATATGGGGCACCCAGTCCCGCCGGTTCTAGGAACTCACCACCAAGTGCCGCAATAGGAGGAGTATCTCCACCTCCCACGTCCTTCAACCCTCCTCCTGCCTCTGGCGGATATGGAGCACCGAGTCCTCCTGATACGGAGTCACACGGAGGAGTATCCACGCCGCCTCCTTCTTACTCTCCTCCCACTCCTTCAGAATCGAACTCTCCACCAGGTGCAGGGAATTACGGAGAGGGATCGTCAGGACCATCAACATCTGCTATCTCCCCACCACCTGCTGGATCCGGATACGGAGGCTCGCCACCATCGTCAACGAGCTCCCCACCGAATGGGTCAGGAGGATCTACTTCCAGTTCCAGTGCTGAATGTACACCTGGCTTGTCCTCGCCAAACATTGCAAGGAGGGGACTTACTAGCAGCAATGGCCGAGAGCAACCTCGGACTCCAACCCGAAATGCAGAACTCGTCGACGGGGAGCCGGTTCTGCTCATGCACCACGAGCTTCTCAACGGGGGCAGCTGGTTCACGCCCGTGGCCTCCGAGAACGACACTGTGCTCCCCCTCAAGCTCGTGGATCAGGGCTTCGATGTGTGGATCGGTCACGAGCGGGCGACGCTCTGGAGCCACGAGCATCGGAAGCTTACTCCCAACGATGCTGTACGTGCAACACGATCCTCCCGGTTTTTTGTGATTTTCGCTTGGAAATTGACGATTCTAAGCATTTGTGTGGCGTTTGTGCAAGTATTTTCTGGCTCTTGCTACTGACTGACAGGAAGAATACGACCATGCAGGCGTACTGGAACTGGACTTGGGATCAGCACGTAGAGCACGACGTTCCGAAGCTGCTGGCATACATCAGCGACGAGACTGGCTCCAGAGTGCATTACGTGGGCGTCTCTCTGGTGCGTGAATGTATTCATTACGTGATTTTCTCCCTCCCTACAGGTAAGATCCACATTCGGGCTTCGAGCTCAAGCTTATTTGCCGTGACTGGTTGGATGCTTGGATGGATGTATGCAGAGCGCTGCAGTCGGGGCAGCCGCAGCCACGAACGCGGGCGTCGCCAGTCTCATGAAAACTCTGACTCTGATAGCTCCCGCCTTCTATCGGGGGAAGACTACTTCAGAGTTCCTGCAAGCCTGGGATCCTATTCTACTTCGCTCGGTGAGACTTCCGACCGCCTTCTCCATTTCTGTTTCATTATGTCAGAGTTGATAGTGCCGACTACGGGATTGCAATCAAGAATCGACGATGACTGCCGCTGTATTGTGATTACAGGCCTTAGGCACAAGCGACGACGAATGGCACGACAACAGGCTCGGTGCGTTCAACATTACGAGGTGAGTATGGCATCAGTAGCATGCTTGACTTGACGTGAAATCGAGTATCTTCCATCTGTCCACATCAGCAGCGATGAAAAGAGTTTGGTGAAGTTAGGAAAGCTCGGGAGCTAATACTGATAAGTGGTGCCCCAGGGAGTTTCATCTAGATGCCATTCCATTGAACGGCCCCGCTTCTCGTTTGCCGTTCGCCATCTCGGGTGACTGACCATCCCTTCTTCATTCGGTTTTTCCCAGTGATGTAGAAAAATGGGCTCGTGAGATGATTCGGTTTATCGATATTCTTCTGTCGATTGATTTGTTTGTGGAATCAGATTGGAATCTGAACCGGTTTCTCGTTGCTGTGCCTGCATGTACATGATAAAGGCCCCGATTGTTGCCTGGGTCCGAGTGTGCTCTCGCTCGCCAACGGATGGGATGGAGTGACGTCGTACAAGAATCTCGAGCACCTCCATCAGGGTAAACTTGACGATCGATCTTGATGAGATTAGAAGGAAGTAAGGCAGGCAGGGCTAGATAGAGATATCACACGGATTTGATACTTTTGGAGCGAAGCATGGACTGACTTCTCACATCATCGCGTGAACTGCTCGCATGCAGGAATCTCGACGAATACCTTTCAGCACTTCGACTACGGGTCCGCAGCCTTCAATGCGCTGGCATACGAGGGCAAAACCGACCCTCCGACTTACGAGCCAAAAGATATTCCCAGCGACCTTCCGATGTTGGTGGTCTACGGAGGGCAGGATTTATACTCGCCTCCCGAAGGTGCGCTGGAATTCATGAGCTTGACACAGACTATGCCCCAGTCAGTGTACCTGCCTCACTACGCACATTTCGACCTATCTATGAGCCTGCACCGAGCGGACGATGTGTATGGGCCGATCACAGCCTTTCTTCAAGACCAATCCGGACCTGAAGAACCTTACTACTGATAATGTTACCAATGTATCGATAGTACGATAGCGATAGTAGATATATCAATCAGCAGCAGCTAGTGCCAGAAGCGTCATGCCTTCATGGAATTGGACGATTAGTCCCATGAGTAGTGAATAGCTCTAGATAGTGGTTTATAGTACTATGGGCAGCAGCTTCAGCTGTTTCCCATACGATATACAAGTGGAGATAGCTACAATCTCCTGAGTACAATTTACTAGGACGATCACCACCTTTCTTCAAGACCAAAAAGGATATTAGACCAGTGCGGATTTGAAGAACCCTACTACTCATCATGAAACTTATCAATCGTTAGTGCCGGTAGTAGGAAGTGATAATAGAAATATCAATCAGCAGCTGTTGTTGTAGAGGTTTATGCCTTCAATCGTACTATTAGTCCCAGTAGTCTATAGAGGTATAGATATCTCAATATGCAGGATCAGCTGTTGCTCATATGTTTGTTATTCATGCGGAGATAGCCATAATTGACTCAGTCCTTGACGTAGAATCAACTGTTACGGGTTATGTACCAATTCACCTTGGAGGGTCTATCCATTCAGAACCTGGGAACAAGTCACTTGTGCACTCGTCTCTCGAACATTTATAAATCAATAAAAAATTTCCAGCATCTATTTTTTGATTTGGATACCTGGTTCAATAAGAGAATCTCGTCTGCCATGGAGTGTGCTATCAGTCTATCCTTGAGCCATGGAGATATTTGAACCCTCTGACAGTCCTAGTCCCATCCCGGTTGGAAGATGCTCAGTTGTAGATCTTGCTAACACCGTTCGATGCAATCGTTGACTGTTGCAAACCAATTACTCTAGAACCATATTGAGATGACGCTCTTGCTCGTTTCCCGTACGAAGCGTACATAGAGGAAATCACATGGATCCATTAGCTTAGAATAAGATGGTATTTATACAGCCAGTCCTGTTTTTATCGTGTCCGGGTGATTTTGTCCGGTTACCAAGTAATTCCCATTTGCTCGGCGACAAGTACGTTGGTATTTTGCAATTTTTTGTTGGTCAGATTGACATTAGAAGGCGAAACAAAATTCTAGAATCGACAGTAACCTGATTCGTACTTTCTTGTTTGAGAATTTCTCCGACTCTCATGCGACTCACTGCAGATATGCATCTTACTTGAACAGATCAGTAAAAAGCAACCTTCTACCTCTGAAACCTGTTCTTGAGATTGGGTAGCGGATTTATTTCAAACCTCTTATTTATAATTATGATTAAGAGTAAGTTTCATCAGATGGATATATCTTTTACTGGGAAACATCATTTGTGTTATGAGACTTGTGTTCATGATGTGGCCAATCAAAGAATCTTCAGTATTAATAAAAGAGATGTTAAAATCTTCTCCAGTTTACTTGCTTGAAGAGATAGAGCTTTGATGAAGTTCAAACTTAACTTAACGTAACTAGGACATGAACAGACCTTAAAATTTAATCTGATGTATTTTTCTGAAGAAGTAGAGATTTAATGAAACTAAAACTAAACTGGATAGAACACTTTCGTGAAAGAGACCTTGAAACCAATTCTGTTCTTCTTTCCTGAAGATGTAGAGATTCAATAGATTTGATGTAACCCCATCATGTGAGAAGCCCTAAAACTGCTCACATTTATTTTCCTGAAGAGATGAAGATTTGATGGAACTCAAATCAAATCTGTTGGAACACCGTCAAGAAAGACATACCATTATACATTCTCCAGAAGATATAGAGATTCGATGAGCCTCGAATCTAATTTGTTGGACCCGTAACATGAATGATACACTCAAATGTTTATTGAAGAGGTAGAGTTTTGATGAGACTCAAACTCAACTTGTTGTAACTCCGACATGAAAGACACCCTTATATCTACTCGAATGTAATTTCCTAAAGAGGTACGGTTTAGTCCGGATTCTCACCGAATCCGGACTCCGGGTCCGGGTGAGCGTGGAGTTGAACGTCCGGGAAAGTTGGCCCTTCACGGCCGTGGTCGGTTTAAGTGGAGCGTCGGATATGTGTGACCCGAACGGGATGCGCGTGAAGGTCCATACTAATGTCCATCATAGTAAGCCGCTCGAAAATCCTAGCTGCTACTTTTATAAAATATTAAATCTTGAATCCTAGCTAATCGTGAGCTTTGCCGTTCTTCCAAATTTCTAATAACACAATATTTTTATCTCTAATCCATTCTTCAGAGTAATCTTCCCATCCAAAATTTGAATCAGCAAACCTAAGAAACAACGTAGAAGTTTTAAGAGTGACATATGAGAGTGAAAGAATACTCATTTGCTCAAAGGTCACAAGTACAATTTCAACTTCAACTATTATGCGGAACAAAATGACGACCACTAAATCTTGTAGTACAAGTTCTGGGATAATCGAATACTATGCAAAATGATTACAATGATAGTCATTAAGTCTTGTAGAGCAAATTATGAAATAATGAGATAAAATTGACATGATGATTATTTATTTTTAGATAAATAGTCGAAAGACGAATACAAACTATAGGTCTTGACAAAACAGTAAGACCCAAACTTACAATAACAGTGATTAAAAGTATATTCAAGAACATGCTATCAACATTGTCAAATTTACATCAACAAACTTTGCTTTTTAAGCAATTAGATGAGTATAAGATGTGTGAGATAGAAAGATTTTTTGCAACTAAAATTTTCAACTACGTAGAGGCTCCTAAATAGTTTGGAGTTAAGGTTTAGAATTTTGCAGAGGCAGGGGTTGGGGTTTTTTATCGCGAGCTATGTTGGCAATTAGATCAATGTACTAAGAAATGAGTAATGGGAACAGGGTAACGGACCAGCCTAGATGCATGAGATTAGCTAAATGACAATAAACACATACAATTCGTCCACTAGCTTCTCTTGAATTTTCATAATCTTGTTCCTGCTTTAAAATCGTCATGCCATTTCCGGTCCGTAGATACAAAGAACCAAAGACCGAAAATGACTAGACAATTTACCTGCACAATATTTAGTCCGAACGTAGCGTTGAGTAAATTTTTTTTTTTTCATTCAAGATCGTGCGTGCGCTACGCGTGTAGGGCGCTCACGCACACTCTTGAATGAGAGAAAAAATAATCTTCTTGTTCAACAAAACAAATGATCTTCTTGTTCTTTAAATCAGTATTATTAAACCGATTTCTTGTTAAAGATGAAAATGTATCGAATCATGACACTTTTTTTAAATCAAAACTCCAAGAATAACTAAGATAATTTAACATTTTATGAATAGTGTATAATAGATTGCATAACCATGTTATAATTTTTTAATATCAAATTATAGCTAAATGAGATTAGCTAAATGGCAATAAGCACATACAATACGTCCAATAGCTTCTCTTGGATTTTCATAACCTTGTTACCGCATGTTAATCGTCAAGCCGTTTCAGGCTGTAGGTACGAAGAGCTAAAGACCAGAAATGGGTTGACGATTTATGCGCACGATATTTAGTCCAAACGTAGCGTTGAGTAAATATTTGTTCTCTCATTCAAGACCGTGCATGAGCGCGTTACACGCGTAGCGCGCTCACGCACGGTCTTCAATGAGAAAAAGAATAATCTTCTTGCTCTTTAAAAAATCTTAAATTTACAAGATCATTATTATTTGTCATCTATGTTCATAAATCAAAATCAATTCATAAGATTGTTGTCAATTAAAAGTGAAGAGAATGTTTTCAATATCTATTTTAAAAAAAAATTCTTTTATGTTTTTTTTTTAAAATTTATTATGATTACATCTTAATAAAAAAGTTTACTTTATTCTTTTTAGCTAATTTTATTTCTTAAATCTATGTAAATTGAGCTTAAGTTAGATATAAGTTTAGATATTAAAAGGTTATATAAATTTTAAAATATCATAATTATTATATTAACAATTTTAATCATTCTTTATTATATAAAAGTCCCAATTAAATTGATAAAATTCATTGATCATGATGAAAATTTTTAAAAATTTCAATGACGTTTGAAGATTGTATTGAAGATCACTTGCAGATTTGTAAAATCTATTCGAATATATTCAAGAAGATGTGAAAAATGTATTGAAGGTTTGATTTAACACAGTAGATTATAACTACAATTTGATGATCAAGAAAAACAGAAATTTTTTCCAATATATTTACATAATCATATGACATAACTAGGTCATTTTATAATCAAAGTTGTTATTCAAATCATAGATATAAATTTGAAGTTGGAGCAATAGCTAAAAGTTGACGTATTCTACAAGAGTTGTAGGATTCTAGTAATTGTTTAGGATAATTTATAATAATTTTTACATATTGACATCATTTGCAATAGCTACTTGGATGGTACGAGATATTGGTTTGAAAATTGGAAAAAATCAAAATAAATTATAAATTTTTGTTAAGTTTTGACATTTTTGTATTCATTTGTTGCATAACATATTGTGATATATAAGTTTTAAAAGAGATATAAGAGTGAGGAAAACAACAAAATTTTTTGAAAGCATAAAGATATTATGACGCAGGCATACATGAAGTCTAGGCAAATATCAATTGTTCAATTGAGTGATACAATGACTTTTGACTCGATGAGGTAGTAAGAAAGAATATTGAAGCCCAAACTACCTTAGAAGTTTTTCTTTGAGAGCTGTTAGTTATCACTCATTTTGGGCTAATTATTTCTCATGCTACTGTTTCACAGAACTTTAACTAATCACAACTTATTCACCTACCTATTGTTGCAAGCGGATTATCATTACATCGCGGGGACCTCGAACCATGATACTGCGTACATGTTATTGTAATTTTTATATTGCGAGGTTACGCCACATGAAATAGTGGCCATGCTCTAGCCTTTGAGATCTACATTGGAAATATGCACCCATGGAATAGAAGAGAAAGGGAAGGGATGGATGATGGAAGGTAAAAAATCCTCACCTCATCCCAAAAAGACAGACCTAGACCAAAAACTTCGACGGAGCTATGATTGGACAAATTACAAAGCTCCCTTGCAATGGAATGAAACCACTACGACAAACTTGTTGTCGTACAAGTTGTGCATTTGAAAGCCTGCGTGTCGGGACGAGCTCTTCCGATGTCTTACTGGCGTTCATGTCATGATCTCCATGCCCTGAGCTCTTGCGTAGACTTATGATTTGCTCAGAGTCAGAGTTTGGCAATTTTGGTGAGTTCCAATTGCAGCTTTTTGTGTCGAGTGAGATTTGAGAGGGCCATCGCCCTCTGGGGAGGACTCCAATTGGGAGCTGAATGCTCCGTCCAAGCAGGCATTGGGAGCGAAGGGAGAGGTTTGAAGAAGACGGGGCTGATTTGAAGGTGTTCATCATGTATTTGCTTTAGGTCCTGCTGGTGATAGAGTTGTAAATTGCAAGCTTCATGACATGGTCTGTAGCTTGTTCTGCCAAGAGTCAAGCAAGCCTATCGGATCAAGCAAGACTACCCGCTGAGTTTAAGCATATCACTAAGCGGAGTAAAAGAAACTAACAAGGATTCCCTAGTAGCGGCGAGCCAACCGGTTTATGGTTTCATAGTCTCTAGCACTAAAATGTGTTCAAAGTTCATAAGGTGAACTCACCTCATCCCAAATCAAAAGCCATATGCAAACACATGACCTGATTGTCTATTGGAAACGTTT